GCTGCCAATACATGACCTGTATATGTATACCCAACTCAGGCATAGTTCATTCGCAGTTTTGTAATACCCTGAAACACTACACCGATTCAAGCTCAGGCATCTCAATCTGCTTCCCAACGCATTTCCGAAGAACCAGAAAGTCTAAATTAACCGAGGACGTGTGCAGATGAAGAACTTCCACTAGATTAGAAGCCTAGCTCCGATGAATTAGCTTCTAATTTTCACAACAACAACAACAACAACAACAACAACAACAACAACAACAACAACAACAACAACAACAACAACAACAACAACAACAACAACAACAACAACAACGACAACAACAACAAAAACAACGGAGGCTTAACATTCCTAAACCACGTTATCATAATAGGGGATGACGTAGTGAAGTGCTCCGAAAATTTCGACCACCTGGTGTTCTTTAACGTATACTCACATCGCATGGTACACGGTCCTCTAACATTTCGCCTCCACCGAAATGCGACCGCCGCAGCGGCGATCGCACCCGCGACCTTTGGGTCCACAGCCGAGCACCATAACTACTCATCCTCCATGGCAGATAACTTCATTAAGGCCTTAGATGCCTCATCAAACACACAATGGAACCATTGGAGCTGACGTCAACACATGCAGTGAATGAAATCGTGGGTTGATGACGTCATTGTATGACGTCAACACAACGTCAGAGGTCGTCAGACGCCATTACGTCATCACGAGGTCACACAACATGACGACGGGTTATGAGGTGAATGCACGACACACTCGATTGGTCAGTGGTGAGCCGATCTCGGAGGCGCTGCTAAGCCACGTTAGTTGCAGAAAGGCTCTAAGCCTTCAAGTCGTCTTAGGCAAATAAATGGGATTGTGGGACTTTTTTCAGCGCGACAAGAAAATAAACACAACCGAAGCTGCGTTCGAAACGCAGGCAAGAGTGTCTCGCGGTACTCGCAGCAAGATTTGCGCACCGTCAAACTGACATCGTACGCTTCCCGCAGGCATGAATGAAAATCCGTTAGCCTAGAATGGTCCGCGTTATTTTGCAGTATACTTTGCTTTATTTGTGCGTGTGCGGTTCTTAGCGAAGCAGAAACTGCATTCGCTCTCTGGTAAAAGGAATCAGCCGATCGTGAACGCGCGCTGTTCATCGATCTTTGGATGGAAGCCATTTTTCACTCTCTGATCTTTCGCCTTTTGTGGAAACTGGCGTGACGGTATGTCTAACGTCGACTGTTGATCGATCACGCGACGCGTTTGCGCCTCTATACTGACAACTCCTGGTCAAAAATGACAGCCCCCCCCCCCCCCCCTTCATTCCCAAACTAGAAATAACTTGTATATGGAGCAGGAAACAATTATTCGACGCACAGAAAAAAAGTTCCACATAGTCATCCGCAGCACCGATCTAGAAGACAACCGGTAAAAATGTCTCAGAAAATTTCTTCTAATCGATAAAAAGCCCGTAACTGTCCAGATTCCAGACGAATCGTTAATATTTTTACGCAGGCATGTGTTTTCCCTTGCTTTCCTTTGCCATAATACCGATTCAAATGTCATCAATCCCGTATTAACACAGCACACTGGACATGAAAATCAAAAGCAGTAGTGAAAAATAGCGATAAAGTTTAAGCAATGGTTCCGCAGAATACGCTATATCATTATCGAGTTGCCTTTAGGGGAAAAACATTAGAGGGACCACCACTCATAAACAGTATCATTCCAGTAACACAATGTTTAGGATTGTAGAATAAATAAACATAGGGAGTAGATACGGCCAACACGTCACAGAAGTTGCAAATAAAGAGGTGCTGCAATGGGCATCGGTCACCGATTCTTATGCTCGGTTTAAACTGATGGCATTCGTTCCATACAGTCAGTGCGGAGATTCAATATTGTAAGAATGACAATTGATTAATGTCATCCTAACTAAGAATGACATTAGATAGATGACGTAAAGATGACCATCAAAAAAAGTTGAAACATAGGAGGTCGTTCTTTCCGTTCTTGAGCCCCAGGAGGGTTCTAGGCCCACCCGTCTCTCTCGTATACCCTTGTCGGAGCACTCATTGATGGCGTAAAGATGACTGTCTAAAACTGGACGAACCGGGGCTGATCTTTTTTTTTTATTGAATACCGGGAGAGTTTGAACCCACCCTGCTCGTGCCCTGCCCCCCTTTGCGCTTCACCGCTTTCTGAGGAGCTTCCCGATGCACGAGTTTAAGCGTGCTTCGAGGAGCTCGATGCATACTTCCGCCTGAGCTTCACCCCCACCCCTTTTTTTATTCCATCTTCATTGCCGTTACAACAGGCCATGCTTCCCATAGCGGAACCCTTTACAGCCGGCCTTTCTCGCTGTGCTACGTTCGGGTTACCAAGACCGGAACCTTCCCCTCAGAACCAACACCTAACGAACCCCGCCCGTCCCATGCACGAGCAGCGCCGCGCACGTGTCGGCCAAGATGAAGACTGGCAGCTCGTCATCCTTAAAACGTGACCCGATTCACTTTGCGGGGCTTTTCGGCAGGGCCTCTTCTGAGATGGGAGGCAACGTTTATATACGGCCCTGAAAAAAAAAAAGGGGGGGGGGGGGAGTAGTGTATAGACGCAACCCAGACCTCACGCTGCTGCACGATGCCAGGTCGAAGCCTCCATCACGCGTCTCCGCGAGATCAGCATAAGCCAAAGGTGCTTGCCGGGGCAGGCCTCTGCTCCGAGCAAGACGGGCCTTGTCAAGAGCTGTTGCGTGCAGCACGCCGCCTGGCTCACTGGGCCTGGCTGCATTATAGCTACTTCGGGATATGGCTGTTGCGGTGGAGAGTCGTCAGTAGCATTCACTAACTCACCCAATAAATCAACTCATTAGTATTGTGTTTACTCAGCATCTGCTATAACATAGCTCGGAGGAAGACTCGTCACCATTGAATTGCCGAACTATGGCTACTTCGGGATATGGTTGTTCCGGTGGAGAATCGTCGGTAGCATTCGCTCGTTCGCCCGGTAAATCAACTCATTAGTAATCCTTTCATGATGGAACCACGAAATCGGAGTGCTACGTGTCGTGTTATCACGTACCACTTATGTCAAGCATGGATAATTTCGAAGTCGCCTGCGAACTCGATGCTGCTGCCCAAATTCGTCGGTAGGCCCATAAAAAAAGGGGCGGGGGGAGGGGAGGCCGCGGTGATCTGCGCTTTTCTGGTCATCCCTTCACTACTGCTTTCCAGCATGGTTTACGATAGCGAAACTACGCATTCGCTCATCAACATCGCCATCACTAACTAGTCTTCGCTTCTTAGCTATCTGTTGCAGCTCTCCTCGAGCCATATGCGGTTGCATTGTACTCGAAGTTTATATATATAGGCACTATTCGGTGTGCAGCTAACCTGTACCTAGACAGAGCAGTTCAACTTTAGTCGCTAATAAGGAGGCCACTTGAAAGTTTGCATGTGTATTCGCTGAGCCACCTCATGTTCAGTGCGTAATATTGATATTTTGAGGACGAAACTAGAACATTGCACGTCCACAGAAGCGTGAATACACGTCAGGTTAATCATACTGTGTAGTCGTTTTCTTTTTCTTCATGACACTTTCTCTATGGACGTGTGCATCGTAATGTGATGCGCGTACGGTGCCACTGTTCATTAAACTAGGAGCCGGATAAGCGAGCCAGTCCAAGCATCCTGGTGCATACAGTATTCACTGTTACTGAACTGCAGCTGACCACAAGAGGTTTTCATTGCGTTCAGGTGACGGAAACGATTTGACGGGTTCAGCACATGACCTCCGCGCTGCCCACGCTTCACGAGGAACGAAACCAGGAGGCTTGCTTAGCCGTCCCGATCGGGACCAAGTTGACTGATCTCGATTGGGTTTCTTGCGCTACATCACTGTAGCGAGTAAATGAATCTCTTCGATTTGTTATCTTAGGCTGGTTGACGGATACTAGAAGAATTGGGTGACAGCGTAAGGCTGCAGCTTTTATACTTAGATAAACGAAGTGCGGTGTCGATTAGTTTGTCCCATCCTTGCTTCGTTGCCCTGTTCTCCCAGCTCTCATTGGACGCTGGCGTGGCCAGGTGGGACGGGGGGAAGAAATCAAGTATTTCGCATCCCCTCGAAAACTTTCGATTTTGCATATGACGGCACACCCTCGTGGTTGGCCGTCGTACAAAGCCAGAGGCAGAAGAAAGTGCATGACACTGTCTTTTTTGTTGTTTGCGCTTGCCGTATGAGTGCATTCCGACTTGCTCAATTCGCTCGATTTTGCAAGCGTATGCATTGCATGCACACATACAAACGCACACACGAACACTCGGACATATCCAAACCTGAGGTGCAAAACATTGCTGGCTAAGCTTTTGCTCTCAAGTTTGAAATGCCCCCAGTTTGAGAGCTCCTTGGAAGCGCGCGCGACACGGGTATCGGAGCTTGCAGCAACACTGCTGAACGTAACTGTGTACGAGCCGAGTTTTTGGAGATCTTTTGAAGCGCGGGGATTTTTTCGGCTTCGAAGCCTTTTCCTCCTTTCACGTACTCCGCCCCGCTCTTTCAAGGAGCGGCGTAGATTGGGACGGATTATTCAGGCCCGTCGGCGCGCCCCCAAGCCTTGCAGAGAGCGCGGGCGGCCGTGCCCTTGAATAAAGAGAAGCGCGCTTGCCAGGCGCGCTTCAAGAAAGAAGCGGCGTCAGTCTGCGTCTGACAAGACGCTATAGACGCCAGGGGCGCGCGCGCGTTAACGTTGCGTTGCCGTGGAATCACTTCCGGCAGCAGCTCCGGCTACGGGCTCGTTTTTCGCCTCCGGTGGCGGCCGCCGCGGCGAGCGCAGTCAGCGGGAGGCATGGCCCGGGGCACTCGCCGGAGCGCGCCTCGAAATAATAAAAGTGTATCGGCACGGTGCACCGCGAAACATCCGGAAGTGAAGGCACTACTTCCGGCCGGCGCAACGTTTGCCGCAACCCACCTTCTTTTTTCTCTCTCTCTCTCTTTCTGCGCGCGCGAACATGACCGCCACAGCCAGTCAGTCGCAGTTCCGACGCTGGAGCCAGTGGGACCTCGTCTGTAAAGCCTAAAAAAAAAAAAAAAACTGTATGGTGGGAAAAAAAAACGCAAAGAACGGTGACCAACTGTTATTAATGTGACAGGTTTCACCGGAAATAAGCGCAGATAAAAAAGAATGACCGATAAAGAAGAATATAAAGCAATGCACAAATAAAGGAAGCAGGAGCTGTGAAGCGGGCCGGTATTTAGCGAACCGAGCGAGTTGACAGAAATCGGGCTGGAAGCGCTGATCCGTTGCGAAGTATGCGCGTATGTTCACCGGTCGCACAGGCACACAGCGAGAGAGAGAGAGAGATGGCCCGAGTGTGGGTGTACAGCCATCGGAAACACCTGTGGAGCACGGAGGGTGACACGGTTGTTATAGGCGGCCTGTTAGCCCCGTACGGTTTTCCCGTTATTGAGTGCGCCGTCGCTTCCTCCTTCCATGCCAAGTTCGACGGGTCGAACGATACACGCGCGCCACAGGGCGACGAATTCCGGGTGGGGCCGTTCCCGCGACGTCATTCTACGGACACGTTGTGCGGGCGCGGACACGTCCCGTTTGTCACAACGACACTCGCTTTCCCCGTCTCCCTACTAGTGACGCGTGCTCGATTCCGCGCGAGAGAATGAACGCGTCATTTCGAAAGCGTGCTCCCGGCTCTGACTACCCCGCCACGGTGGTCTAGTGGCTAAGGTACTCGGCTGCTGACCCGCAGGTCGCGGGTTCAAATCCCGGCTATGGCGGCTGCATTTCCGATGGAGGCGGAAATGTTGTAGGCCCGTGTACTCAGATTTGGGTGCACGTTAAAGAACCCCAGGTGGTCAAAATTTCCGGAGCCCTCCACTACGGTGTCTCTCATAATCAAATAGTGGTTTTGAGACGTTAAACCCCACAAATCAATCAATCACGGCTCTGACTAGTGACGTCACAAGCCGACGTAACAAGTCATGGCTGCCCAGAACGAACAGAAACCGCATAGTACGCAATAAATTATTTGTTTTTACGCCTCAAAACTACAATATGATCACCAGAGACGCCATGGGCGAGGGATCCGTAAATTTAAGCTACCTGGGTTCTTTAACATGTGTCTATGTTAAGCGCACGTGTCTCTACGATTTTGCCTTCATCGAAGTGCAACCATCACGGTCGGGATTCGATACCGCAACCTTTAGGTCGGCGGTTGAGCGGCGTAATCACCAGACAGCCGCGGCGGGCAACGACGTCTAGTATATGTGACCGACTGAAAGTATCTGGCACCTCGTCGACCCTGCTCCCTGATAGCAAGAGCACCCATTACTCACGGTCAATTTTCCTCCGAAATGCTTCGAACTTGAAGCAAAAGGAGTGCGAATTCTTTGAAGTTCACGTGCCTATGTTTTTTTTTTTCACCCATTTGAACCAATGTATATGCAGTTGTATGAATAAGTGCTTAAGGTGCTTGCTTGGTGAAGGTGACCAGGAAATCGATGTTTGCTGCACCCTTTTGTCTCTTGATCGGTCTCAAGCCATGCGACATTCGTACACTAACGTGCCAACATAGCCTGCAGAATAAATGATGATGATGATGATATGCGGGGTTTAATGTCCCGAAACCACCATATGATTATGAGAGACGCCGTAGTGGAGGGCTCCGGAAATTTCTACCACTCGGGGCTCTTTAACGTTCACACAAATCTGAGCACACGGGCCTACAACATTTCCGCCTTCATCGGAAATGCAGCCGGGATTCGATCCCGCGACCTGCGGGTCAGCAGCCGAGTACCTTAGCTACTATACCACCGCAGCAGGGCCTAAAGAACAAGTGTTTAAGGTAGTAAAGGATACTGAAAGCAATGTCAACTAAAAAAAAAAAAACTTTTACGGATGCTTTAGAGCTTTCGCGTTAAGTCCTCTTATTGTTAGTTAAGCTACCCCAGATATTTTAACCGTATAGTGTAATCGAACATTGTAACCGTTTTTAGCCGTATATTATCTGGCGTAGTTTAATGCAGTTCAATGTCGCAAATACTCCTTGCACACCTTCTCTGGTTTGTTGATTTGGCATTGTTAAACGATGCTGTTCGATCATGGAATGCTTATGTTAGTGAAAAAAAAAACTATTCAAAATCGAGTTGAAAATTAGACATCATTCCGGGCCTACAGTGAATCTTACTTTATTAAATAAAAATAGAATAGCCAACACTGCTACGTGAAGCGATAACCACAGTTGTGCTGAGATGAAAAAAAAAATGCAGGCAAAGGTAGGCAGAAGAAAGGGATGACTGGATATTATGTAATACATGGTTACTGAACATTTCAGATGCTGGGACTGCGCATTTTATTGCATTCAGTTTTCATAGCGAATCGTTCAAACAGAACCTTAAATAATCCTTATTTTCCTTTTTTTCTTTGCAGTTGTGGCGGCCCGGGTATGGTTATTGGTCCTTTCACCAGTGCTTCTGGCCTTGCCTGCCTGCGGTGAGTTGACGTGTCCAGCCTTGTAGCGTGTCTGACAAACACTGTGTCACACATCTCTGTCTGGGCTTGCTTCCGACGCGGCCAAGTAAAATCTGATGGATGAACCCTTGCCATGTCAAATGAATATCATTGTTGCATTCACTGGAGCCCCTTTATAGAGCACCGTCAGCGGCAGCCGATTGTGTCCAATGCTCAGTCCGAGAGTGAGAAAGAGGTAAATGTACGTTGGGAAATGAGGAAAAGATTACCTGGCAGCACATCTCGCATGTTGTTTCAAACTAAAATAATGAGAATTACAACGTTACAATATCATACACCAAATACACTACAAGCCAACTAGGCCATCCTGCCTAGACCGCTGGCTCCAAGACCCGTTAACTGTATCTTGGTTCAGCAAAAAATATAAGTTTTCTCGTTTATTAAGGAGAAAGCCTAATATGGCCAATCAAACTCGAAATGTGAAAGTCGGCGCCGTGAACACGATTGCGCGAAAAATCATAACGTAATTGCATCACCACATGACGTCTTCGTGACGAGAAAGTCACCAGATTTCGTGACGTCATCAGACGACGTCATCTCGGGGTTGAACAGTGGTCCGATCCCGGAGGCTACGCAAGTTCACGTTGCGGGAGGAAAATTTTCGAGAAAGGGGAGGGGGTGGAGTAGCATCAAAACAACTAACTGTGAAGAAAAATGACACGGCTTTCGCCTTCCGGGCATTTTATATGCTTAAGAGAACGCTTATTTATTCAGGGCGAGAATTCAAATGTGTTCTCGCGCAAATGAAAGTATGAACAGCGGGCGTAGTTATTTTGTTCATTGTCGGTGGAGACGCCATGGTTAGAGGAAACTCACACAAAAAAGAGCAAAATAAACATCGTGTAGGTCGTTGTCGTCATCACTGCACAGCACATTATAATGAAAATGGATGTACACTTGTCACACGTGAATAGCGCATGTGCAAACCGCAATATGAGAGAGAGAGCGTCGAGCGTCGGACCCTGTGCCACATAATCAATCAATCAATCAATCAATCAATCAATCAATCAATCAATCAATCAATCAATCAATCAATCAATCAGTTTATTATCATGTCATAAAAGGATGTTACAGGGAGTAAAATATACAGACGAGGGTCCCAAAGTACAAGACTGCAACGGGACCCTCGAGATTGCAACGGGACCCTCAAGGTAGTTATGCGAACCAAAATCCATACATCTGACTGAAAAGAAAAACACGGACTCCGCCTTCCAGGCAGGCGTCTTTGGCAAATGAATAATAGCCGCGTGATTTGCATTTTTTTCTTTTCGGACCAGCACTGGTGGTTTTATTGCTTAAAACCAGCTTGTGGATTGGGTTCGAGAACGTGGCTGCGATATTTTCGTGCGTGATGATGAGAAATCGGGGGGGGGGGGGGGGGGGGGCGGTGTAGGTAAGCGGCGTTGAACAAAGGTGTTCGTGCGCCGTGCTTGGCGTGCGCTTGATGGGCACTGGTAGGGGGAGGGGGGGTTGTTTCTAAAGGGGCACTTTAACTTTTGCACACACGGTTCGAAGACACAACCCAGCTTTCGCCCATGGTGCACGTTAAAGAGAAGGAAAAAAAATATATCCTCGAAGGTAAACCATTTCCCGATCGGTGCCACCTATTAAACCAACCGCATATAGTTTAGTAATGGTGCTTCCCACAATTATTGTTTTTTTTTTTTGAGGAAAAACCTTTGCGGCAGGGCGAAGCAACCGTGACCCTACCGAGTGTCTGAGGAGTCCGACGAATGCTTTCGAGCGTTAAAAGCAGCGACGCGTCTTTAGCCTCCATCACGCGCACGACTACGTATACAAATGCGGGAAATAAACGAAAGGAAGAAAAATGAAGAGCTTAATTCGTTGAACGCGAGAGATTAGCTGAAAAGGAATTCCACCCGCGTTTAGCAGCCCTGTGCAAGCATCGACCGAAGCAGCATTAGAGAGCTCAAGGCGTCTCTTCAAGATTTTTTTTTTTCCTTGTTCAGTTTTGACCTTACGTGGGTGGCCGTGGGCCCGTCCATATATATAAGCGCGCTAATGTGCAGGCGCGTTATACTGATATATGGAAATGGCAGCTCGCACGTCGCCGCCAATTTGCATAACTTATCACCGGTGAAGAATGGCGTCTGCCGTGTATAAAGGCCAGCTGCTCGAAGGCAGCGTATCGCTCGAGCTACGAGGAAGCTACACATGCACGCGGGCAACGCGAGAGTCATGCATACATTAAGCGAGAGCTCGCGCTTTGCACTTTTGAGCGTGGTACCATAGTGTTTGCAGGAAGAGGGCGCCGCTTATCCCTTTTCCTTATTGACAGCCTCAGGGAGGGAATTGAAACACTTTTGGGCTCATTGTGTTCTTTGGGCGCAAAAGGCCGGCGGAGAGGAGCTGCTGCGTTGGAAGATCGAACTTTACCTCGGCTTAATGAAGCAGGCGTGTGCGGCCGCTGTGTATGTTTTCGCAGACATTCATTCGGCCCTCGCATCATGTAGGCCCTTGGAGAATAAACTTGTGCACTCTTTATGAATTAAACAGCACGCGCTATAAAGTGCCGGGAAACAGAAATGAAACGCATGAATGCAATGTTAATATCGTCGGAGTCAGACGTCCCAATACAGTAATATTACTATTTGTTGGAGTTATAGACGTTCAAAACACCTATTATATTGCGTGGGACGCCGCAGACGAGGGTGACGAAAACTTCGACCTCATGGGGTTCTTCACCGCGAACTCTAAGCAGACGGGCCTTAAGCATTTTCGCCTCAATGTAGAATGATATTGATAGATTGATATGTGGGGTTTACCGTCCCAAAACCACCACATGATTACGAGAGACGCCGTAGTGGAGAGCTCCGGAAATTTCGACCACCTGGGGTTCTTGAACGTGCACCCAAATCTGAGCACACGGGCCTACAACATTTCCGCCTTCATCGGAAATGCAGCAGCCGCAATCGGGATTCGATCCCGCGACTTGCGGTTCGGAAGCCGAGTACTTTAGCCACCAGACCACCGCGGCGGGGCCATGTAGAATGCAAGCCTCCACGGCAGGGCTGGAGTGGCTAGCAGGGCTTCGATGGCGTGACCTCCGGGTTAGCCGAGGAGTTTACCATAAACATAGATCTACCGCGGTGGACATGTATGTATGTATGTATGTATGTATGTATGTATGTATGTATGTATGTATGTATGTATGTATGTATGTATGTATGACATGCATGCATGCATGCATGCATGTATGTATGTATGTATGTATGTATGTATGTATGTATGTATGTATGTATGTATGTATGTATGTATGTATGTATGTATGTATGTATGTATGTATGTATGTATGTGTGTGTGTGTATGTATGTATGTATGTATGTATGTATGTATGTATGTATCTATGTATGTATGTATGTATGTATGAATGTATGTATGCACGTATGCATGTATGTATGTAAAAGAAGAAGCGTCCACGCGTCACCGCATGTTGTGTGTGTACGCATTTTCTTCACAGCATGAAGCATAAGCATGGAAACTGATATTACTGCCTCCGTCGTTTGCGTGTGTAATCACTACACTCACCACCACTTACACGCGCGTTATTAAATGCGCGCGCTTCAACAACGCGACGCTTCCGCGACTTCTGATTCATCTCTGTTTTCCGCGCGACGGTTCAGTAATTAATGTCGCTCGACTCACGTTTCTTCGCTTAGCTTACGACTCGTTCCCCCCCGGCTTGCCCTTCAACGCACTACAAAGTCTCCCGCCATTTCCGAGTCCTGTACGCGTGACGGTCGTGCGTGTGTCTTTAATTCATTCGCCATTTACGCAGCTCGCATCGCCGAGTCGTTTTAGTATGCGAGAGCCGCGCGGAGCGCAAGGATTCCGGCGCGCATCAGTAAAGCCAGCGACGACGCCGCTGACATTTAGATTGCCCGACGGCAAAGCGCGCGCTGCCTTGCTTCCCCCCCCCCCCCCCCCCCTCTCTCTCTCTCTCTCTCTCTCTCTCTCTCTCACTCTCTCTCTCTCTCTCTCTCTCTCTCTCTCTCTCTCTCTCTCTCTCTCTCTCTCTCTCTCTTTCTTTCTCTCTCTCTCTCCATCTCTCTCCCTCTATCTCTCTTTCTCTATCTCTCTCTCTATTTTGCGGGGCTAAAAATAATAGGCACAATGAAATGTCCTGCGTCGTCGGCGACTGCACGACGTACGGTCCTCCCCCTCTGCCGCAGCGCCGTAATTAAATTTAAGAGAGACGCCGCGGAATTCGTTGGCGACCCGGTTACAGCCCGTTTTGCGACTAAAGGGAAAGAAAACTAATGAATGGGTAAAGAAAAAAAGTAAATAATTAATAAGTACGAGCCTTTATTCGCGAGCATGCCTGTGCTCTGCGGCAGCGTCGACGTCAAAATTTTACGGCTCACGTCTGCAATGCGTCGTTGGGCCGCGTTTTTTTTTCTCTTCTTTTTCGAGCCCTGTACTATAAGATTGTAAACGTGGTATTATCGTTTTTGTCAGCGGTATCCAAAATAAAACAAGGTGAAGTTGTTTTAAATGTTTATGTCGGAATTGGAGTAAAGAAGATGGGGGAACAGGCTATGGTGACCCAAAATGCGGGAAGTAACGTGTGTACGTGCTTGGATGCTACTTCCGTATGTCGTATAGACGTCAGTAGCACATACGCAGCGGTTGAGTGACCCTGGTTACAGGCTGCAGTTAGGCCAGTTAAATAGGTTAGTTAAGGTTAAGTATATACGAGGGTGTAAAATGGCAGAACCAAGCACAGGACCAAGTTGCCTAGGTAAACATGGGAGAGGCCTTTGTCCTGCAGTGGACGTAGTCATAATGATGATGATGATGATGATGATGATGTTGATATACGCATCTGGACTTCGGAGTGTTCTCTTGTCACACTTTAACCAGTCGGATATACAAAGGGTAACTTGGTATGGGGTGGGCAAACTCAATTGGATCTGTGACATGCCTGATAGGTTTGGGTGTGAATGTTGCCGATCATGTTTATATTTTTGTTCTGCAGAGGAAAAAAAGATGCTATGAAATGCACGCACATGCGCAATCCGCCGATTGGCCTTATCTCCCTGCGCGTCTTTCGCGAAATCCAGCGAACGCTTACAGCACGTCTGCAATGCTACAACGCCAGCATATTGTCGGTACAGTAAAGCTTTCAGCTGCTGCGTGGTGCCTTCGAAGGCTTTCATAATCAGACCAGAAGGTTGTGTGGCTTCACAAGAAGTGCATGTGCTCCAGCTAGAATTCTTCAGGAAGAAGTGTTCGGCAGCTGCTGTCTCGCACGAGTATATCGACAGGAGGGGCTTCGCAGATGCCTCAAATTACCACTTTTCCCGGTTTTCCACGCACTGGAAGGTGCAGTCATCACTCGAAATTTATCACACTGAATTTCTTTGTTCGCGTTTGGAGTTCATTGTTTACCGAGTTGTCAGTTTTATGAAGAAACCGTTCAACTCTCTCTCTCTCTCTCTCTCACACACACACACACACACACACACACACACACACACACACACACACACACACACACACACACACACACACACACACACACTATCAAGCGCGCGCTTTTGCGAACGTGCAAGTGAAAAGAGAGAATCAAGAAACGTCAAACAGGTTGACCAAATTCACTCACGCTTTGCTACTCTGCTCCTAGAAGAAGGGACAAAGGGGCGAAAACAGAGATGGACGCGCACACTTGGAGGACCACATCAAGTTTACGTGCTGTCGCACAGAAAGTGAACAAGGGCGTTCCTATATTGCCGGTCGTGGACCTGCCGAAAAGGGTGTTTGGCGAACTGGAGGGTGGGAAGCCTTTCTTATATATCAGCGGAAGACACAGCGAGGAAGATACAGCAATGGCTGCGGGGCCTTGTACGTGTTCTTATCAAAAGTTGGGCTTCCGCAGGTCAATCTGTGAAAAAGCGTGCGCCAAGCGGCTTCCGCAATCGAACCTTATTGCTCGAGGCGCATTCGTGAACACCCTCTGCCTCCACTTCACCAGACCAATGGAGGCGGAAACGTTGTAGACCCGTGTGCTCAGATTTGGGTGCATGTTAAAGAACCCCAGCTGGTCGAAATTTCTGGAGCCCTCCACTACGGCGTCTCTCATAACCAAATGGTGGTTTTGGGACGTTAAACCCCCCATATCAATCAATCAATCCACCCCACAAGAAGAACCTCAATACTTTCGTAAATACGTGACACTTGACTCTATCGGGTCGATGCAACTGCCGTAGTGCCAAACACAAGCCTGGCAACGAATGTGCGGCTTTCTGGCATTTGTTTGGCGCTTAGCGGGCGTGCCTGTGGTCGAGGAGGAACTTGGGCAGCTTCTCGATTTCAAGAAGCGCCTTGATTTGGAAGCATTGGGCTTCTTTAGCTCGCGGTAGCACCATCTTGATACAGCGTCACGACGTGAACTCCTAGGTGGTGTAATTCAATATGTTACAGTGAGTGAATGAGTGAGTGAGTGAGTGAGCTGCATGTAAAATTAAGGAATTGTTGTGGTGGCGATTAAGTTCATGATAATGAGCACGACTACCGTCTGTCTAGTCCTGGTCGGATGTCAATAGCGTAATTGCGAGTGTGAGAGAAACAAACGAGAGGTTTCACACAGACAGGCAGGTTAACCGAAGAGAAATAAGTTGGGCACTGGAGAATACGGTGGCACTCTTGTGACAAGCTTGTGATTTACAAACATTGGCTACAAGTGAAAGCCCCATTTGAGGTCGAAAATGTAGAGTAGGCCTTCAAAATGGATGTGACAAGGGGAGGGGATAAGTTCTGACGGCGGGTCGGAGGACACAGGTTGCCAAACCTTGCTTCCCGTTATTAAGACGATAAAGGTGCGAAGTAAAGAGCTATTAGAATGCATAATAAGTTGTACAGAGCCACTGTTATTGGCGTGGCTCTGTTGTGGAATGCCTGCTTGCTACGTAGAACGCCTACGCTTGAAACCACATAAAAAATGGCATAAGGATTTCGTTGTGGGAGAGGAGTCTTCTTAAAGCATGTTATATTGCGTGGCAGAATCGTGCAATCGTACGAGGCTCAAAACATGGAACAGAGCCAAGAGTGGGTGGGTTAAAGCGGTCCATCCAGTACGAAGGACACAGTAGTAGTACGAAGGACCTTACAGACCCTTAGTGAGTACTTTGCATTATCGAAAAGAAAGAATTACGAGTATAGCGTATTCCCGAATTGTTAGCTGCACACCTGTTCATTTCCTTGCGGCATGATTGAAGGCGATATGCACGGGGCGTCTATTGCAGTGAAGTTGTCTCACTCTAGCCCTGTGTCGTCAGCGCTGTGGTAGTTGCAGATAGTAGTCACGCAGATCACGTGATGAGCGACGTGATGAGCGATGGGAATGAAGAAAGATATCTTAAAACAAAATAACGATGATTGCGCTAAATGATGATGATACACGATAAGATAATTCTCGATAAGCTGATGATAATATATTTCGAAGCATGTAAGCGCGGCCTGCGTGGGTATTTTCTACCTGGCGGTGGACTTACAAAACCAACTGGTGTCGCTAGTGAATCACACACGCTCGCGCTCTTACAGCTTTGTTGTCCGAAGATTTTCATACCGTGGAAATGGCTCAGTGTTCTTTCTTTTCTTTCTATGCTTTTATTTTTCACAGGCCAGAACTGTTTCGGCGGCATCGAAAGCTTCGAAAAGACGACGGGCCTCGCCTTTTCGGGCTCGGTGAGCGGACAGACGCTGCTGCAGCAGCCGGACCAGGCGCTCACCAGAGACTGCATCAACCTGTGCAAGCAGCAGGCGCAGTGTCTCGCCTTCTCGCTCAACTACGTCGGCTTCCGATGCGCCTCGTTCAACCTCAACTCGATCGGCCGCCGAGACCTGCTCGTGGCCACGCCAAGCACAAACTACTTCGAGAAGATCTGCTTCAGAGGAGGTACTCATCATGCGCGTCACCATAGCTGTATTGCCAAACTTGGTTGCTTTTGCATCGCCCCTCTTTCACTTACCCCCCACCATCAAATAACAACAAAAAACTAAGCTCTATCAAACGTCGTCTTAGCGCTTGTATCTCATAAAAAGAAAATGACAATAAGTCCGTTTCAAATTTTTCTTACTAAGGAGGTCACTCACAGGATAGCATGAATAGCTGACTGGATGGCTACCTGGACTGACAAAATGGCTATAACTGGCCCGTTTTATAAGTAGACAACCATGCTAACATCGAAACAAGCAAATTAGCTAATGCGTATCTGACTACATATTTAACTAACAAGAGAGATCGGAAAAACGGACTGGCTAAATTTTTGTTACTGACTGATGACACGGCACTACTATCATTGTTATTTTGGCTTTCACTTAGTCATTCTATCGTCATCTTCTACCTCGTACTGAGCTGTTCTTTCGTGCCAGCCAAGCCATTTCTGTAGTCCTAATGAACCACCGACTACTTTGACGTGCTATAATCACTACTAGAGCTGCTCAATTCTACGCCCCAACCTTAGTATACAACACGCACTACACAACGTGTTGTGCTCTTCTGCTCCTTCCTGTGCGTCCTGTTTAGTTTCACTACTCACGATGAATTCTATGTCCAAAAACCAACACGCCAAACAGTCAACTCTTTTAAAATGCATACGAAACGTTTCAACTACAATACTGATCGTCTCGCTTGCTCCCTGAGCGCAGTGCAGAAGAGTTCCTTCGACGCGCTGTGCGGCGACCGGCTGTGGGCCTTCGAGCGCGTCAAGGAGGGTCACCTGGAGGGCTTCGTTGATCGCGAAGAGCACAACGTCAAGGACAAGGAGGAGTGCGAGAAGATGTGCCTGCTCGAGGAGGCCTTCCCTTGCCGCTCGGCCGACTACGACGAGGTGGCCAAGACGTGCCGCATGAGCCGCGAGGACCGGCGCTCGCAGCCGCAGGCCTTCCGACAGGTGCCCGGCAGCACCAGGGACTACCTCGAGAACCAGTGCTCCGCGACCGGTAGGTACACATGCGGCCATGTCGATGCACTGTACACATGTTAAGCACAACAACAATAGCTCATACCCCCAACTTCATGTGATATGGACCGCACTTGTGTGAAAGATCACTTCGCACATTCTGTTCTTTGTTCAGGCATTTTGGACTTTTCGTGAGACCTCGTGGTGATTCTTGTTCAGAAGAGCAAATACCATATCCGCCGAAAACCTGTCTATACAATATTTTGAGGGCGTAAACACAGCGCAAAAGAGAAACAGGGCCTAAGGAAGACACGACACAGGCATGTCTTCCTTAGTCGTTGTCTTTTTTTTTTGTGCTGTTTTTACATATCAACCATGAACCACGAAATAGACCAACTGTTTCTTCTAGTGCTGTACTATAATTATCAGATTGTAAAGGTGTAGTGCATGAGTCTCGTATGGCGAAACTGTTTCACCGTGACGAACAGGGCTCGTGTAACTTCTCTTCGGACTAGACACACCGGCATGAGTTCTTTAGACCTTGGTTTGACGGCTTCCTTGGAAGATTCAAGCGATGTTTTCATAGCTTGAGATCTGTGAAAGTAAATGTACAACCCCGTATACGTCTGTGGAAAGCTCGCGAACAGCAAGCAGCCAGTAGAGAGAGAGAGAGAGAGAGAGAGAGAGAGGATAAATTGAAAGAAAGGCAGGGAGGTCAACCAGAATTGTAGCATTCGGTTTGCTACGCTGCACTAAGGGGAGAGGGAATGGGGGAAAAGATGAGAAGGAAAGCGATAAGAAAACTAGACGCGCGAAAAAAAAAGAAAAAAAGAACGGGGGCGCTGTAACCTATTCAATAGGCCACCACCGCGCAACAAGTTCAATAAGGCCTTCACTGATTTTTTGTGCGAAGACAGAACATGTCGGTATTCGAGTGCTGACTGTTCTGATAAGGGTCTGTCGTCAAGGCGGGTAAACGCAGCAACTAGCGGCAGTCCAGTAGAGTTACCGTATGTGCTACATTGGTAGCATATACAGTACTGCAGCAGCCAGCTCTGCTGAGAGACAGCTTCAGGTATTTTCGGGGTCCATAGCGACGTACCTGTGAGCATGCACGGTCTAATAGACAAAACAGATCTGTGCACATTCTATATAAACCAAAAAAGATGTTGGTAAGCAGTGAACTCTTTTGCTTTGTCGGCTGTGGGCATTACGCGAGGCCACCCCTTTTTTATGCAACCGTGTATTTCAGAGCAGCCACAAAGCGCGTATCAGTTGTTCTGAAAGAGCAAAGTGCTTGTTGCAAACCCCTATGCTTCATTCTCTGGCACCGAAATGCCTCAGTCGCTGAATGCAAATTTGGTTGAACATGGGCCCTCTCCGACAATTTGACTCGAGCATAACAGGCTTGCACGTCTATCATACGACGTATGCATGCTCCTGGATAAACCTTGTCAGACCCGGCAACCACCGCAAGGTGTCGCCACCCAGATCAAGGCTGCCTGCTCTTGCGTTCCACACAGAAGTGTACGAGGCTGTACATGTGTTAAGCGCTCCTGATCATCTGGCGAAAGAAGTGAGTGAGTGAGTGAGTGAGTGGGAAAGGAAAGGCCGGGAGGTTAACCAGATATTGGCATCTGGTTTGCTACCCAGCGCTGGGGGTGGGGAAGTAGGGGCAAGAAAGAGGGGTTAGAGAGAGGAAAAAAAATAACGCACGCGCACTCATAAAAAAAACGAAAACACACACAGGAAGGGCGTCCCAGCTACAACCGTTCAGCAAGGCCGGTCAATCGCAAAAAGTGCAGCAGCGCTTTCAGGGCCCTCTTCTGTGAAGTCGCATCCTGACGATATTGCAGAATTTCCTGCTCCGACAGAGGCTGATCATCTAATTTGTTGAGTTCCCTGCGAAGGCATAGTCGCCACCTACTATACGCTAGGCACTCACAAAGAACATGTTGAATGGTTTCCTCCTTGCCACAGTGGCCACAGGCTGCGGTGTCGGCCATCCCAATGCGGAAAGCGTAGGCGTTGGTAAATGCAACGCCCAACCACAGCCTACATAACAGGGTCTGGTCTGCTCGGCGAAGCCTCGACGGGACTTGAAGACTTAGCGTAGGGTCAAGCGAGTACAGTCGGGCATGCTTGAAGTGCGGCTGATTCCATTGCGATGTGGTTTGCCGGCGAGCAAGTCTGCGGAGCTCTCGTGCAGCATCCGTCCTAGAAAGTGGTAGTCGCAGTTTATGATCTTCTGTGTGGGCTGAGCGGGCAGCTTGATCGGCCCGTTCATGGCGAAAGAAAAGTTCTCATGCGTATCTATACGCAGCACCGTGCAAGCACTACGTATGTAAGTCAAGTTCGTTGGCTAAAGGATTACTATGTCTCTAGAAATGTGAACAATGCATGTGCCATGTGTTGGTTTCTTTGAGTAGCGAGCTACCTAAGGGCTCAAATTCTTCGGTACGCACTAACCACAAATGGTCTAGTACTTAAAGCACGAGGGATAATCTAACGACAGCATAGCGTTTGGAACAGTGCTGACACCACTAGACCCGCGCTGTGAGCATGCATCGCCAAGCCTCGGGCAAGACCGCAGCAGGCACCGCTCACTACGAGCTCAAGGATTTTCACCGGCCATTCATGCTGTATAGAAACAAAAAACGGGGTAACTGTGCCACACGAAAGCACGTAAATGAGACCAGCAGACTTTGAATAGGGCAAAGCTATAGAGTAGGGCGGTGTCATGCGGGCATCCGGTTGCTTTCCACCTTCCATTCCCTCTTCTTTTCACTTCCGGCTTCCTTTTGAGAACAGTTGGATAGGGCCAGACCTCCAGAGTTCCACAGGTAGGGACAATTCTCGCGGAAGGTTATGTGTGATACGGCGTCACAATGGCGGGCTGATATGCGAAGGCCTTTGCCTCTGGCCACGAGCGTTATGCCGTACGTTATAAATCTGTGGGAAATGGGAGTGTCTTCGCTCTGCTTGCTTGGGCAGGGAGGAGTGCACGGATGTTTTACCTAACGACCGACTGTCTGTTCTTGCGCTAGCAATGACGATCTCCAACCTTTCCTCACGGCCAGCGGCGAGGTCAGCTTTGCGGTATTACAAAGCATCCTTATCGGTAGAAAGCAGCCCTTTTAGTTCCCTTTTCCGCAAAGATAAGAACGCACCAACAGCACTTCTCAGCGGCAATGAAGGCAGATTCTTTAACCCTCCGTTGTTGTCTGAAGCTGTACGCGAGCCGATTGCGTCCAGTATGGAACACGTCGGATCCGCTTCTCAGCAGAAAAGAGTCAACTTCGAAACGCTTCTGACCACTGCCGAGTCCTACGTAGAGAAAACGAGGACAAAACTAGTGCAGAGCAAGGGAGGTCACTTACTTGTAAGCACGTGCGTGTGCTAGTTTATTATGCACCGCCACGCCTTACATTCATAAAGTCAGGTGACCATTAGTCACGGCCTCCAAACATTGTTCACCAGTGCTTGACGTTTTTCATTCACTACCCTGAAGGCTGGTACAGTCCTTGGCCTAGTGTACATAAGTTTCAACAGAAACCGAATAACCAATAACTTGCCGCAGTCATGCTCACACTGTCTCCACCTCGCATTGCATTGGAGTGCTGCGTTGCTGTCCTCCAGTGGAAACAATTCCTTCAAAGCCTGTCATAAAAAAAGTGCGTTGAAAAGATGTTAACGATCGCAGCACCGACTTTATGACTTCCAAGCCTGTAACAATGATACGTTTCCAGCAGTAGTTTGTGGTACCAGAGCGCACTACGCCGCGATTTGATTTTCTTTTTGGTGGCACATGCATGCGGAAGAAGTGGCCATTCTTCAGAACAGTTGGAGCTTCAAGGTTCCATCTACGACGAGTATTTAATCTCGTCTGAGCGCGGCACTTCGACCTGTAACGCTCCTGTTATAATGACTTAAGAAAGGCACTTCCACTTCAAGCCATCGACAATAAACGAAAGCTCCCTTCCGTCAGAGATGTATGCAGAAATTTCTTTTCGGGGGAGGGGCACCCTTTTGATCTGTAGTGAGGGCAGGCCAGGTAAATAAATGGTCATTCTGCGCTCTGATAGCATGGCGAACACATTTCGGGGGGGTCGGGGTGCTCGGGCCAGTGGCTTACACCTGCCTACGACACTGCCTCCCGTCGTGGTAAGACGTTGAAAAGATTATAGCTTTAGATACGGATTCAAGAAAAAACAGGCGCTAGTTTGGAAGCACCGAATACCGTGCACTGGCCAATGGTGGGTTACGTGCAAATGCCGCATGATAACGCGGTGCACGTAATCTACCCTTGACATCGAATCGAAGTGCAATAGATATTATCCGGGGCAGATCAAACAGCCGCATCTCCTTGGTCATTTCCATCAACACCTCAAAAACGTGGAGACGTTATGTTTTATTTTTTTTAAGGCGAAAGCCTTAGATGACTCAACAAACGCGTATGTTGACCATCGGTTATCAGCACCAAGGGCGCCAACGAGTATCATGATAAAAATCACAACCACTTATTGAAACTACAGCGTGACGTCATCGCGACACGACAGGTTGCCAAATTTATGACGTCATCATTACATAACACAACGTCCCATCACATGATGACGTCATCACAAGCCCTCATCGCTTGGTGAAAGTTGCCAAATCACGTTAGGTGCAGAGAGTTTTCGAAGGAGGAAAAGGGGGTGACAGCACATAAACTGAGAACACAAAGATGACCTTCGTCTACTAGTAGCCTTAGGCGAATGCATAATGCACCTTGTGAGTTTTTTTTTTCTCTCGAATGCCTAAGGCGAATTTCTGTCGCACTCGCGGAACCAAAGTGAAAGCTTTGACTACATATCCGTGACTGCTTTCCACTGTGCCGTGACTACATATCCGTGACTGCTTTTTTTCTTCGCTGTCGCGTGCAGCTCCGACGTCGTGCCGCTACGAGACCCGGGTCGGCGTGGGCGTGGTGTCCATGGACCTTCTACAGTTCGCCACGGCCGTGGACGACTGCCAGACGCAGTGCGACCGCGAGACCACCTTTAACTGTCGCGCCTACTCGTACATGGAGAACCGGTGCTATCTGAGCGGCGACGACACCATCAGCCTGGGTCCCAGCGGGCTGCCGCCCATGACTAACGCGGCTTACGGTGAAAAGAAGTGCATCACTGGTGCGTTTACAATGACGTTCCTGTTCGCGCCATAGAGATAGTTATCCATTTCATCTGTTTTGGTGAGCGTTTCCCTCGGAGTGGCGTTACAAAGCTTGGAAGAAATTCGGGAGGTGACCACAATCCTTGACTTATTTTGATTCTAAAATACCAGAGAATATTGAAACATAGAAGATCGCTAACCAGAGGTTCACCTTCTAACCTAGCTTTGCTTTACAAAGTCGAGAATGTAACCTAATGCCGAAATTCTCATAACGACTTAAGTTTTAGGATTATCATAAAGACTTCATAGTTTAAAGCTAACCACCTACTACAAACGGCACACATGTTACTGCACCCTTAATGCCACGTAGTGGGTGCATAGCAAGCTGGAAAAGGTTTCATACACTAAGTATTTGAAGTACGCACTAGGAACAGAATATCGATGTCGCATTCAAATCTTAAGGGCAAAGCTTAAGGGTCTTCTAATCTTTCGCACACCGACAAGGGCATCAACGCTTGCACGCGATTTCCGCCAACGGCGATAAACTTTGAAAATTTCAAAGCCATTTCTCGCAGATCGTGGTTCGCTATATGTTCTGGATAATGTGTAGTGCATAACCGCATTCCATAAGCCGCGGTGTACTGGTGTGTCACACGAAACCAATGAAAAGCGTTTCATGAGATACGTGACAGACATGACGTCCCATGCTAACTACATTTAAGAACGGAGAAAAGCCGCCCACGAAAGCACGAATTCGTAGGCGACTTTATAGACTGATAGAGAGATAGAAGCGGTCAAAATGCCCTTGGTGCGCAAGAAAATGCTTCGTACTTAAATGAAAGCCTCATTTCCGTTCGTCGTTAGGGTCTCGCTGTTTACACGGGTTTCAGCGGAGTGAACCCTAATGGCAAGAGATGTTTGATATGCCTGAGAGCGTCACAGAGAACGTGCACTAATTCTAGCGTCTGTTGTCTGTTTACAGAGCAGTGTACGCTTGGCGTGTTCACGTACGAAAAGATGACAGGCTTCGTAATGCGGTCGGCAGCGCGCACCGCCATACCGCTGTCGAGTCCCGGCGCCCTCGGAAACACGCTGGAGTGCCGGCAGTTCTGCCAGATGTCCGGCCTCGACTGCCCGGCCTTCAGCGTCAACTACCAGAACATGCGCTGCGACAAACTGGACCGGAACTCGCAGGGGAGGACGCAGGAACTCAGCCCAAGGGCGGGAGAGAACTACTTCGAGAAGATCTGTCTGAGAGGTATGCGCATTACATCATTCATCTGCAGGACATTTTGACAGGAGTAATGGTAGATTGGGGCACCACAGGCGACTTAAAAGGGTGTAATGACCCAAAGCCACGATTTGATTATGATAGACGCCGTAGTGGAGGGCTCCGCAAATATTTTGACCCCCAGGGCTTCTTCAAGATGCACCTAAGCCTCAATACACGGGCCTGAAACATTTTCGCCTCCTCTTATGTGTGGCCGCCGCGGCCGAGATTTGATCCCGCGACCTGCGGGTCGGCAGTGGAGTATCATAGCCACCAGACCACCATGGTAGGTCCATGGACATCACAGGGGAAGTCAGCGGAATGCACGGAGCATGCTAGTGCTATTCCCACACTAAGAACATTAAAGTTCTTCCGATTACATCATGATCAAAACGTACGCGTTGGTTTAGTTTGACGCGAAGTAGAAAAAATACAAAAGAATAACCACACGTGCTCAGTAGCAATCATTTCCTAGGCAGGTGTTGTCCTGTGCGCTGCTCCAATTATCCCGTGACATAGATGCCTGAGCTGAATGGGCAAATCGATGTTTACCCTATCAATGGTGAAATCGGTGTTTGCATAAATGCTGTCGAATTAGAGCGCACAAAATTTAAAGGAACGAACGCCAGCGATTAGGCAGCCCAAATAACCCTATAATTACTCGCGTCAGTGTCACGCTCGTATTTTAGCTGTTGAGCAGTAATAACGCAATCCGTATTATATACTAATAATTGGTCGACTACCAACCTGAGCTGTACAAATAAATCATCAAGTGCTATTTCACATAATTGGTGCTTAACATGTCACACGGTTCTTTCATACAGTACAGGTCACATCTTCAGTAATATCCCTTTGTACCATATACTTCAGGCCCAACGCGCTACCCAAAAATGACAAGCTAGACGAGCAATATCTCAGTGAATTATGCCACAGGCCCGTAATCTTGAATTTAGGTGCACGTCAAAGCCTCTAAGGCGCTCGAAGTTTCCGGAGTCCTCCACCCCGGCGTCCCTCATAAGGCTCGTCGTGGTTTCGGGACGTATAAACTCGACAATTCTGAATTAGCTCTTTCTGGGTGAAATACACACTTCACGGTGAAGCACCGACACGTGATTGGATGTCCCCAACGTGCTCGCTGCTCTCGTATAGGTTCATTGCGTGTATATGCATGTTCTGCTGTGAATCCCTAACTTTTCAACATGTCTACAGGCAACTTCGCCACGGCCTGTCAGGGCAAAGCGTGGGCCTTCGAGCGGGTGCTGGGCTTGGAGCTGGTGCCCACGCTGTACGACAAGTCGTTCGCGCACGTTCAGAGCCGGCGCGACTGCGAGGAGTACTGCCTCAACGAGCAGACCTTCGACTGCCGATCGGCGGTGTACTTTGACGACACGGCCGAGTGCCGCCTGAGCCGCCACGACCGAAGAACGCAGCCCGACGGAGTGATCAAGAGCTCGAGCCCCAGGATTAACTATCTGGAGAACCAGTGCCTCGAAGGTGATTAGCCCTTTCAGACGACTATGGTACATCTGCGCTCGCGTTTACGAAACAGTTCGTACGAAAAAAAAAGAACAGTTGATAAGAAGAGCAGCGAATCGATGACTACAAAGCGCCCCCTAAACAACTCGGAGTTGACAAAGAAAGAGGAGTTTCTTTCTCGCCTTTACTGCCGTTTCTACAGACGATGTGTGCACTCCACCATTTATATCCTCCTAAAACAGGTGGCCGATGTCAGCGCGGAACATTGAGAGAGAAGGCGAAATAAACGTTTTTTAGAAACAGTGTTCCGAGCGAGGCCCGGTATCACCCTAAGGTGAGAGGGTTCCCTAGTCCAGGAACCCTCTGGCTTCGACTGCCCTCTTAGCCCTAGCGACGAGTTGTCACTGGTCTTCCAGGTCCTCGAGGACTAGCGTGGCCTCCCACGTTTCCATTAGGTGGTGGTCGTTTATTCTTGGGCTTGGTCCCGCTCCAGTTGCATGTCGTGATTTGCATGGCACTGGCATTCCAGGAGCAAGTGTTCCAGGGTGTCCGGTACGCTGCAGAGCGGGTACATGTAGCCATGTGTCGTTGGGAAGAGGCGGTGCATTAATGTGCCATGTACGCAAGTGTTGCTTTGCAGGCGTCTGAAGGTCACGCTCTCTTAGTAGGGTTGAGAGCTGGGCTAGTTGGTGAGACATCATTTAACCATATGGTGTAGTAGCGCAAATTCACGGGGACGAAGAGGACAAGAAAACACGGGGACGAAGAGGACAAGAAAGCGAGTGTCGTGTTTTCTTGTCCTCTTCGTCCCCGTGAATTTGCGCTACTACACCATATGGTTAAATGATCACGCTCTCTTCTTTGGTTAGTTTTGGATGGGGTGGAGGGTGCACCCGTCACTCCAGTTTGTAGTGTTGACGTAGCGACGAGTAGGTGTTTTCTACTACCTCCATCTCTGCAGCCACGGATCGGTTATCCTCTGGTCCCAGGCACGGTGTAAGAAGCCGCGCTCGCCGTTCGACCGGTTCGACTGGGACCCCATACAGCAGCGCCCTCCACAATTGCGAAATCGGCGCCGCCGCGCGCTCCGAACACGATGTGGTCACGCCGGTTGCCGAGGGGACGGCGGAGTGTCACCACCTAAACTATTCTTACACCGTGGTCCCAGGGCAGCCCGGCTGACGTGCTCGCGGAGCGTCGAAACTACTGACCGGAATTCGCGCTTTTTTGTTGTACGCTTTTATTTCCGCTTGCGCAGTGAAAAAAAACAACAACATAAGATAAAGCGAAACAAGTTGAGCACGCACGGTAGCCAAGCAATACAGGGCGAAACTAGCGTGCGACTGTATGGACCAATAGAGACCTTATTTCCTCATTACGTCCCATTATGAGACACCTGGCGTCACGAATTGTGCCAAAATTGCAGGAAATGCCAGCAAAGGCGAAAGCACTCGTTGTTTGTATAATGAAGAAGCAAGACGAAGCTTTAAGAGCAGCTGTCAAATCAGACACCACAGCAGCGTAGGCCGAGACAGCGCGAACAGCAAAAACGTACGGCACGAGCTTCTCCTACATGCTTGGCGCTGACGATGTGACTGTGGAGCTCTTATGATGCTCTTTTTTTACGTTTGTATGTTCAGAAGTTCTTTAGGGGCCCTTGAAACATGACATTCGTGACGGCCGCTGGTCAGTAGCAGTGGTTGCTTAATTTGAACAAAAAATTCTGTGACATCAGCCCCTCGTTTCATGCAAGAAAACAATAGTTGGCTTCGTCATTTGCAGGTTTATACTCTATGAGCTCGTTCTTGAACTGGGCTTTGGAGCACGATACAAAATACTTAATTTGATGTGCTAATCCATGAGTTTGCGTGGCTGTCCGTCTAAGGTGCTGCCCTGTAAGCCGCGGATGATGCATAAAGTTGCAGTTGATCATGTAATGAACTCCCACAAAACGCCCACAGGTTTGCACTGTCGAAGTTACCTGGACTAGTTGTGGCTCTAGGACACTGACCTGAAAAAGAAAGAATTAAAATTTTATTTTTCTGGTTCGAAGCTGTTGCCGAATTGCTGACAAAGAAAAATTGTTTTTTGGAGAGATTGTCCTCAATACAAATTATGTATGTATAGTCATTTATTCTGCATATCTGTCTGGCGGCTTCTATTTCCATCGTCTTAATGGTAAGCAGCACGCTTCGACATGAAGCCGCAAACTTCAAGCGATAAAAATGTGTTTATTTTTTTTTTGCCTTTGTAAAGTAAACTTTTCTAGATAACTGATGGGTTAGTATTATAACGTACTGAAGTAGACGCCTTCCTATTCAATATTTAGCATATTTCATTTATGGATTGCGTATTAGACAAGTACCGCTAATAGTCGTAACTGTGACTCATTAACAGTTCAAAAAAAAAAAAGGTGGAGCTAAGCAAACAGTTAACTTTTCTTAGCGTGACAATATAGTTTCTAAAGACATGTCACAGTAAATGGACTCCCATTATTTTTGCCAACTCGCTTCATCTCATTAGCACGCAATTTCCTCTTCTCTTCAGTGTCTCCAACGTGCCCGTACGAGAAGACCGCCGACGCCTATCCGGTGTACACTGACGTGGTGCAAATGACCGGCATCATATCCGAGCAGTCGTGCGAGTCGTTTTGCACAACCTACCCGAACTTCAACTGCCGTTCGTTCGCCTACTACCCGAGCAACGGACAGTGCTTCATAAGCGGCGATGATCGCATAAGCGCTGGTAAGTGTGTTCGAGGGTCTGAGTATAGCGAGAGAGATCAATTACTTATTGGAAATCGTAACTACGGATGAGATTATCTGTAACACCGGTGGTCCCTAGGCTTCTCCTTGCTTACATACTCTGTACAGGGAAGCTATTCAAAACACTGTTGAAATCCGCCACGTCGAATTATCAAGCTTGTCAACTCCGATTGGCTTAAAATGTTGCCATAACGAAATTGAATGAATCGGCTGAATTTCATAGTGTTCGGAACACCACCCTATAGTAAATGGAACGAGCGCACTATTCAAGCCAACCCATCAGCCGTCCTCCTTATCATTGTTGTTGATTTTATTTTATGGGGTTCGAAACCTTCTCGAGATCAGGAATTTTCGAAAAAGTATTGCGTTAAGAAACCCATAAGCCACCTCCGATCATTTTTTAAACATTTAATTTAAATTAGCGCATCGAGTTGACAATGCCGTCACTATCAGCAATGCCTACCGGGGCAACGTTACAAGTCGCGGGCGCGCCACAAGTTCCAAGGAACATTCCCTTATTCTCTCCGGACCTTTAAGTAACCCCAACGTCGGCCATGACGTCAACATTTGCACATGGTCAGGCCACCCGTGAAAATTGCTTCGCTTTCAAGAGTTGAACGTCATAGCGAAATCCGGCCCCTAGTGCGCCCTGAACCACTAAGTGCATTCTTATTAATATTTTTGTCACACACACACACACACACACACACACACACACACACACACACACACACACACACACACACACACACACACACACACACACACACACACACACACACACACACACACACACACACACACACACACACGCACGCACGCACGCACGTGCGCGCGCGCGAATGGTACAGGTTTTCGATCTTAAGCAAGAGTCGCATGGTCTCCAAGATACACGCCGCGCGGTTGCCATTTCGGAGGCCATAAAGAGTCTCACAATGACTCACAGAGGGCAGCACAATATCTAACGTTTGCCGTTTGCTTGATGAACGCCTCTGGAAAGGCATGGTATGTTTTCCGCTAGATGGACATAGTTGCCCATTTTTAGGGCTGTTTGAAAGTTCATTTGTGTTTTTAGCGGCAATGGCTGCACTATCCCGGCCTATTTTGATGTAGTTTGATGATCTCTCAAATGCGCCTTCAAATCACCGTACGGGCTCGTTTTCGTCTTGACACCAGTCGAACAAAATGCGTCAAGGAGACTTAAATGGCATTTATGTAGTGTTTTTTTTTCGAAGCAGCTGCAAGTAACATCGTATGCTGCAGGAAAGAAACAAAATAACACCGTAGCTTTGTGGTAGAACACCCGCTTACCACGTCTTTATTTCATTTGCTTCTTTCTTGATTTCTCTCTCACGGACGATTTTTCGCTCACAACCAACGGTACCGACGCCAACGGCGGAATTTCGGTGACACGAACTCTTTGACGCTATCGCGTTAAAACGAACCTGCTCGTACACCCAGCAGTACGCGCACTGGCCGCTCTTCCTCTTCGCATGCTGAGGAGGAGCACTCGGCCAAAATGAGAGCAAACCCGACGCAAGGAGAGTAGCGGAGGCAAGAGCAAAACGAGTGATGACCTCCTTTGGATCATCAAACGCGTGTAACTGCGCTATCGCGGCACCACTTCAAAAATACTCTCTCGGCTACGCGTTTGTTGAAGACGAGTACACAACTAGAATGCCACAACGAAGTTTAGACCTCTGGGTGCTGTAGGGGCCCTTTAATATTTTAAGTTCCCGACAAACACAGCTTTATTTTTGTCATTTTGCTCTAAGAAATCATCGCGATCACCATTCAACTGTCTGCCGACAAGAAGTGGTTTACCTTAACAAGCATAAACGGCACGCCATTGTCTCGACAAAAAGCCATTAGGAAACTAATGAGGGTCGTAGAGTACTTTCATAAATATTGTATAAACGTTCATTCAGTATTGAAGACTTTTATGGCTCATTGTTAAGCAGTTCTGAGCTCCACCCTTAAGACACTTCGTCTAATTGATAATACTAACACAGGCGACAGCCTTGCGCATCACATCGCTCAATCAGTGGCTCAACGTCCGACTCGCAGGTCCGGCCAGCACCAATTCCCGGCCCGGCATCCTGTTCTACGAGCGCTCATGCAAGGACGGCGTCGGTGTGACCGACGGTGGTTCGGGCACCACGGCTGCCGGTGGAGGCACCTCGTCGTCCACGGGTGCCACCAGTTCGTCGCCCACTTTTCCGACGGCGCAGCCGCCGCACACGCCCACGCTGTTCCCGCCCACAGGTAACGCCGAGAGCGTGCCGCGAACCTCGTTACAGCTCCAAGGGAACCAGTGTAAGCCTTTGATTTACGAAACTTCGCCAAAGCCTGCGAGTGGCATGGCGCTGCGGTGCTGGACTGCCTGGACTGGGTGAACTGGTTGGTGCGGTGGCTCGGCTTTTCGAGCTGCCACAATGTTGGTATCGAGGGCATATTGTGGAAGTAAGGTGTGCGCGGAAGAAAGAGTACAACAGAGCGGACGTGGATGCAATTAATGCATTGAGACTGTCCAATTGAGTTGGCCCCACAGACGGCCCTGCTTGAGGTTATTCGTACACTGTGGCGGAGCCACAAGGGCGGCTTAGAAGTTCAAACCCTCATCATCTTTCTGTCCTCCGTAATTTTACACCAGGTTTACATTACGCTAACGCGTGCTTTGGCGTAACTGTAACTGAGGCCCACGGGACAGCTTTATGCTCTCCCATAGTGGAGTACCTAGTACTCTAAATCGCTTCCCCCTTTTTCTAAACACACAGGTGCATCCACAAACGCACATACAGGGCCATTGGACTCTTCCCCCACGTCCGGGGTATTGTGTGGGTGATTATGTTGTTTTTTTTTTGTATGGAACGTTGAGCCTTCCCAATGTGCAAGGACAGTAGCAGAGTTGCATTAGCCTTAGTGCGCTGTAGTTTATTGCAGTTGCGACAACGCTCCTTCTAGCGCACATCTTGCTCCTCTGGCGGGGCGGGTGCAAATTGGCTTGTCATGATGCACCGTGAAGTGTGTATTGCTTGCTTTGTGTGGAGCGATACGGCACTCGAAATGCATAAGGTTCAAGTCGTGCCGATTCACGGATTGCATGATGGGTGCCTTGCGACGTGGTGGGAGGGTGCATCTTGTTGCATCGTGTAGTTTATTACGGCCGTGAAACAATTACCCTATGGTTAGCACACTCACATATTACTGAAGTGTGATGATACGATGATGCTATTGTTATTGCACGTTCGTAAAGGTATGGTCGAGTCATTTGTAATCATAGTCAGTGTCCAGGCGTATGTAATGAACTGTACGAGTATGGTTCACATTTTAGTGCGACACAAAGCATGAACAAACGTTTCTCTTTTGCTAAGTATTTAGGTATAATGATGAATCGCTGTAGTTACTCAAAACGTGCAGTATGAAAAATGTTTTCCAGTAGTAGTGGATATAAAGTCCACTAACCGTAGTCCGTGTTTAAATATGAATTTCACATTTTTAGGTCGATGATATTTCGAGGTGGAAAGACAAAATTCAGTACTTCAACTAGTATGACGCGCATTTGTCATAATGAGGACATTCGATGGCGAAATCGTATGATCATCACAATTTCGTATATGTTGTCACCATTCAACATAGTGCTGATTGCCTCATAAAAATGTGAGCCTATGGACAGCAACGAATACATGCGTGGGCTGACATAGCTAGCAATTTTAATGATAAAGCCGTTGAATTCAGATTGGTTTATCACCTTGCTTCCTACTCCAGTGGTAGGATGATGACTATAATCTCAACAATGATCAAATACAAGGAATTACTACCTATAGTCACAAACACGCATACATGAAAAAAAGAATGATTCATAAAGGTTCGTTGAGTCGAGTAGTCCCCAAAAACACCCACAGCGCTGTTATGCTGCGTATCCCTCAAACGCTGGTTTGCCACGGGCCTGGAAAGTTCTAAATCTCCAAGCGCAAGCCACGTTGCAAGTGCTGCCTTAGGGTTTCATCGTTTTGCATCGTAATGGGAACAGTAACACCGGACGTGTTTTGAATTTTACCGAATATAACAGTGTTGCACATAGAAGAGTCCGCGTGCTTAATCTTGTGCTTAAAGTAGTTAACATAGGCAACGTCGTATCTCAGCCAGTGAATTCTCATTTCTTTTTGGCAGGTTGGTCCTTGAGGCTTGTACAATTTGTGCGACGGGTCTATATATCCTGTGAAGTTGTCCGTAGCACACGCTTGTACAGCCACCCATTTTTTAAACCTGAACGCGCGAGCGTCGACCGCCCATTCGATAAGTGGTGTTTAACGGAGTAGAGCGACAAAATGAACGATAATACGTGCATTCCTGTAACGAACATTCTTGTGCAGCTGTCTTCTGCTATAGGATGTTCCGGGAACCAGACACCGACCGGCCGGAACAGACGCTTACAGACTCTGCGGTCGATACTAGCGAGTTCTGGTTAGAAAAAAAAATGGGCGGCTGTACCTGATTCTTCAGCTCCACTAAAAATAATACTTCCACTAAAATCATACTACACGCTACCCTTGTGTAATCTTACCTCGCTATCTACCCAGTCCGGCACTGCAGCGCCGGCGAGAAACTTTCGTTCGCCCGGGTGTCGGGCCACGAGTCGGCCTCGCGGCCCGGTCCCATACTGCTGACGGCCCCGGCCGACGGAATGACCAAGGAGTGCATACTGCGCTGCGAGCAGCGGGACGATTGCCACTCGTTCAGCATCGACTACCGACGCCACGAGTGCTACATCGCCGGCTACTACTCCGGCTCGCTGCCCGCTCACCTCAGGCCCAGTCCCGGAAAGACGTACTTCGAGGGAATCTGCGTACCCGGTAAAGAAAACGCGCGCCCCAACGAGTTTGAAAAGCTTGGTGTTCCAGTGCGTTGTTTACAAACCGCGAGAGGCGCCGAGTCGTTCCTTTTCCTGCCCTACAAGCGCTAGTAATGAGTCTAATGACTGCATCAACGTCTCGTTATTCATGAATGCATCAACATAAAATACTGCCACAAGAGCCTGTGAGCTTCTCGCAACTCCGAAGTCAATAAATTCAGCGCACAGTCCCGAATTCAGGAGAGGACTCAACCAAAGTAAGGGAGCGTTAATCCGGGCCTGGAGGCTACACTGAAACCTCGAGAAAGGTGTATGTCTTAAACTGTGAAGGCAATCATACCACGGTGCATACAGGAATGTCTCTTTCTGAATACGGAGATACTCTGACGGCACCTCTTGCAGGGATAAAAAAATTGCCCGCAGCTTCCCTCGGGGGAACACTGAGGAGGATGCGGACCATATAATTGGTTAACGGGGTGTTAAAGTGCGACTTACTTGGGTCGATGGCTAAATTGGTTAACGTGGTTGTGAAATGGGGTGTTAAATTGCGACTTACTTGGGTCGATGGCTAAATTGGTTAACGTGGTTGTAGGAGGGGGTGTTAAATGAGTGAACACGTACACACGTATGCGAAAGGGCGGCGCTGGTCGAAGGGACGTCGATCATTGTGTTTGTGGATTCGTTGGAATTCATTTCACCGCGACCTTGGACGTCGACGCGCCGTACAAGCCAACCGACGAGCGGCAACTGAGCGAGCGAGCGCCGACCTTGAGTATATATACAGCACGACGGCGCATGCACTGTCAGCTGTTGAATGTTCTCGAAGCGCGACGCCACATGCGCGTCCACTGGAGAATCAGGAGAATTGTAGATGTCGAACGCGGTGTGTAGAGGAGGAAGGGTGCACAGATGGTGGAGGAGTGAAGCGCGCGCGGTGTGTAGAGGAGGAAGGGATGCACAGATGGTGGAAGAGTGGGCGACGGCGCGACGGCGCATGCGCGCGCGTCAGCTGTCGAATGTTCGAGAAGCGGTGCGGACGGCGCGGACGGCGCGGACGGCGCACTACAAGGCGCGAGTATAAGATGCTCCGCATCTAAAAAATATAATGGCGCATCATGTTTTGCATCTACAGACAGCCGGAAACGGGTTCCCACTCCTCCTAAGATTAACCAGTTGATGGCCAATTGATCGAGTATCTGTGTAGGTAAACGTTCTTGCAGTTATTGCTCTATCGTGTACTAGTTGATAACTTCCACTGTCATATTACAATTGTGGTACCTCCATAGACTCCTCTCCTCTTTCAGTCTTTAACACTAGCCTTCTACTTCCCATGTACAAGAAGACCAACTCAAGGTCTCCGCTTCTTAACCAGGTTTAAACCTCATTGAGTCTTGCATACACTACATGTTGTATGTTATGTTATAATAAACTTGGCCGAGTCCGAAGGGGTCGATCTGAAAGATCAGACCAATGCGGCAAACTCCCATTTCGGGACAGCCAGTCCAAACAACCATTTTAACATGTTAATTCTATAGTTTACTTCAAAATAACCGCAGAGGAACATAACTTCAATGTTTCTTGATTGTGACTGTCTCTGCATTACGGTGGACACTGATTTATATGTGGGCGCATCACGCGTTCTCTCTTTCCTCCTTGCTTTCTCTATTGTGTTGCTCCCCTTTCCCCTCTTCCTGCTTCGGGTAGTTAACAGGGTACAACCCTTCCTTCGCCCCCTCCCTGTCTCTCTCTCCTTAGCTCCTGCTCATCTTTCCGCAACCTCTTTTCTTCTTCAGCAGAACAGTGTAAGCAATGAGCCCATAATTATGGTTAGCTTCATTGGCTCTTTTTGTGACAACTTAAATCAACTCTCTGACCCATACGTACAAATTGCGCTCCTGAATCACGTCAGGCAGGTGGAAGGAGCCTGTCAAGGCCTGGAATTGGGCCCCCACCCATCGAGCTCATGACCCCTTGTCCTATGAATAAAGTTATACTTTGCTTTCTTCTCACTAGTAAATTGCAATATATTTAATGTTCAATATGAACGAAACGCGCATGGACACTGAAATCGTATGCATGGATCTTGCGGGACGACGTGATATACCGCGAGGGCTCACGACACGCCGCACGACTGTGCAGCCTCGGTCGCCTGCCAGCGGCTGTGGGCGTTCGAGCGCATGGTGGACCAAGAACTGCGAGGCGTGAGTCCTCGCGAGGCGACGCGGTTCATCACGCTGCACGACTGCGAGCGGCGCTGCTTCGAGGAGCGTCGCTTCCCGTGCAAGTCGGCCAGTTACGACGTCAACCTGCAGGAGTGCCGCCTGTACGCCGACGACCGAAACTCGCGATTCGCCCGTCTCATCTACGGCCGCGGCGTCTACTACCTCGAGAACCAGTGCACCGTCAGTGAGTATACCGCCAACCTAGTTTGCATAAGCTGGCTGGACACCATCCGCAGAGATGGCGACAGATTAAACAGTCACTGCAAAAGGCCAGGACAAAAAGAGCGACGTGCTTGAAGAGGTTGAGGATGTTGTAGCTAGCCGGCGGATCTAGCCTTGCATAATTTGCAGGCAATTGCCCCGCCCGGTTTTCTCTTCGCTAGTTGTAGCTAATGTCCTTTGTTTTTTAACTATAAGCACGAACAAGATTTTTAAAATAAAAATCGTGCATAACGCGACGTAATCCTGCATAAGATGGCGGCCTTTGTGCTATTCCACTTGCAGTATTGTTCCGGTACTCTATCTCGCTGCACTATACCCCAAACATAATTGTCACTTATCACCAGTCACATGCGAGGTCTGTAGCAATCAAAAATTTCAAGAGAAGCCGTGACACCTGTTTCCTGAAGATTGAGGAACCACGCGGAAATGCAATATCAGTCACGCTGTCACATGGCGAGCCTAACTGTTGCAGTTCCTCAAATAAACCTTGCCGTTCTTGAGCTCGTTTCTGGGTGCTTTAGGTTTTCAGAACTCAATGTTCCCAGGCCCGAAATAGAGAAAGAGACTCAAAGGAAGTCCACTTCTGTGGAACAGTCGCTACGGTGTTCGGCTGCTGACCCTAGGTCATGGGCCGGATCCCGGCCGTGGCGTTCGCATTTCGACGAAAGCGAAATAGAAGATGGCCATGGGCTGAGCTATGTCAGTACTCGTTAAAGAGCACAAAATGGTCGAAATTTTCGGAACTCTTCACTACGGCGCCTCTAATAGTCATATCGTGGTTGTGGGACGTGAAACGCTAGATGTAAGAGAGTTTTTGAATAATAGCGTACGCTAAGTTAGCGTTCGTCGCGGTCACCCTCTACTTCCGTCACTTAGCGGGAACCCGCAAGCGGTTAGCGTACGATGCATGCGCAGTGGTGCGAAACGCTAGAGCGAAGCTTTGCGAATGCTATAGGAAAACTCCCTATTATAATCATTAGACTGAAAGGAACGGTAATGGAGGCCAATAGATTGGTTATTCACTCAGGTTCGTTACCAATGATACTGCCATATTTTCGCATGCCATGCGTGGAAACCATAAAAATCAGACGTTCAGGGGAAAATGGAATCTTCAATTGGTGAAACATTTCTGAACACATGGCGTCCCAGGAGTCGACGTTTTTAAAGGAGGGCCTGTCGTCTTCAATGCTGCAACTAAAAGGCTGCAACAGTCTTTAAGGCTAACTTCAGTCTTGAAGAAAGCAGGTCGGTTTGTCGAAACGTTGACTCTAGAGTCATCAATTGGTGAAAAATTTCTGAACACAGGGTGTCCTTGGAGTCGACGTTTTTAAAAGAGGACCTCTCATCTTTAATGCTGCAACTGAAAGGCTGCAACAGTCTTTAAGGCTAACTGCACCCTTGAAGAAGGCAGGTCGGTTGGTCAAAATGTTCACTTTAGAGACACCCCGTGATCACGAATTTTTCATCACGTGCAAGTGACGTAATAAAAAAAGTGCCATCTTGTTGGTAAATAGCCTGCTTGGTTATAGACCTGTTTGCTTTGTTGCCTGTGATTCTTTCACGCGAAGTATAGATAGTAATTTCGTACTTCGATGCACCAGCGTCAAATAATTAAAAAAAAACATATATAACAAGGCAGGGCGGAGGGAGGCTGCTTAGTACTTTGAAAAATGGAGCCCGAATGAGTGGACGCATTTTTATACTCAGATGCTCAAAACTGGCGGAAGGTTGTATGCATCAGTGCATTTCCATATTTCGAACTGTTCTTTTTTTGTACTGTTCTTTTTAGAACGTTTTTCAGTAGAACGTTCCGCTTTCGCAGAAATAAAACCTTCACTGCGGCCCTTTTTCCCTCACAGACACGAGTCCCTGTCCATACGCTCCGATCCAGCGCGACGTGTACATGACGCACATAACGCGCGTGGTGCACGGCGTCAGCTCGACCTTCCACTGCGAGATGGAATGCAACCGCGAGCCGGACTTCAACTGCCGCTCGTACACGTACGTGGAGCACGGCACGCTGGGGCCTCCGCAGTGCCTGCTGTCGGCCGACAGCCGGCCCGGAGTGTCGCCCATCGTGCTCGAGTACCGCAGCCGGGCCCTGTACGCCGAGAAGGACTGCCACATGGACGACGAGAGCCGGAACAACGGAGTCGTCGGCGGCACGTCGCACCCGCCTCCGTACCCGCACACACCGCCGAGCCCGCCGCACAGGTATGTTTTTCATTATGACCAAAGATTATGATTACCAGCAAGAACTATAGGGACAAAAAGCCCGGAAACGAAGTAATCGGGCTGATAGTAGGTCCTGGTGGTCAATGGCAACAATCAAACTGTCCTTAGACAAAACTGGAATACTGTGTCATCGGATTGAATTTAGGTCTGGGTGGCCCATAGCAACAATTGAGCTATCCTTAGACAAAATTAGCGCTAAATAGAGAAGAGTGCGCGACGTTAACCAGAATGTAGTGAAGTAGCTGTGGTGTGCTAGTTGGTATAAATTCATCTGTCTGGCGCGGAAATAAATTAGTTTCAGTACGAGCTTCATCTTGTTTGTGTTTTTTTTTCTGTTGTCTTGAAGTCACTATTTGGCAGCGCGGACAGTCTTAAGACTATAATTTAGCGAACACTACCTAGCCCCGAGGAGGTTGCGTGGCAAAGAATATTGATATGACAGTTCATGTAACCTATTGAGACGTTCTGGTAAAAGGTACTGTCTTGAGGACTGGCGCCATTATATCAATCAGAAGTAGGATGTCGCACTCTTGCACGGATCATATCATGAATTTCACGGCTTTATTCATTTGTGCGGTACGTCACTGTGTTGGGTAGATAGCGTTCCGTGATAGAAGTAATTCAGGAGTATACCCTCGGGACGCCAGTCTTGTGTGCTTTGCTGGTGGACAGGAGCATTCAGTGGTATCGAGTACTCAGTGATTTGTTCCGCCACTGCTCGTTTAGAGTCAACGCTTTCGCCGCATTCGCTCCCATCTTTATACGTTGCGCTGGCTTCGTACTTCTCGCACCAAATAGTGGCCATTTGCTCAAGGGACAGTTTGCTCATTTTAGGGGCGAAGCTCCTTAGGGCGTGGGCTGTGCGTCCCCTGTAGCCTGTATGTAGCCTTCTCTAGTTTAGTTCTTGCAGTGTTCACTAGATGGCGGTACCGTCCCCTGTATGTAGCCACCTCTAGTTTAGTTCTTGCAGTGTTCACTAGATGGCGGTACCGTCTCCTGTATGTAGCCACCTCTCGTTTAGTTCTTGTAGTGTTTACTAGATGGTGGTACTTGTAGCTGATGATGAAAAGATGCAAGATGTTATAAACTAGAAAGCGGTACTTGTAGTTGATGAAAGACGCGAGATCTTATAAAATAGGAATGATGTCGCATATGGCGCGTGTCATTGGTTGAAGGCAATCGTTCGATTTAGTGCGGCGACGTACGCTAGGGGGAGCGTTGTAATAAAATCCGTTCGCTGTTGGCGCGCGCTCGGAGTCGCCGGATGGATAAGGCTGCACAGCGGAGAGAGCGCAAGGCGGCAGCAGCGCGCGCTCGCAGACAGAATCCCGATGTGCGAGCGCGCGAGGCAAGGGACATCGCAAGCCATCCATCGTCTAAGAACAAATAAAAGTTGATTTGTGTATATACACACACAGCGTTTCTCACGTCTTTACATGATGATCGACTGGGCGAATTACACGGAAGATTCACAGTTTACCGATGAATCCCTCCGGAGCTTCGCCCATTCATCATCATTCACCCCGTGAATATGCCGTAATTTTTATTTATATTGTGCTTTGCATGCCAGTCAACGTCACAAGGGCCTAGGAATCCAATGTTTACGCTTTTTATATTATTCCCCTCGTCGCACAGGCCATACCCGGCCCCTCCTCCTCCTCCGCCCCCACCACATCCGGGGTCTTCGCCACCCTCGCAGCATCCTCCGCCGGTTGGCTCGGCACCGACACCATATCCGCCGAGGCCTCCTCCCGGGGACTACAGCCCGTACCCGCCTCCTCGGTTCTGCACGTACGAGCAGTACACGTACGAGAAGACCATCGGCCACGACATGAGGTGCGAGAGGGACTGTCTTTATCTAGATTGCTCAACATAGGCACTTCATCCTTGTGCATTTATTAAAGGAGACTAGCGTTGAGAGAGAGAAAGAGAGCGAGCGACAGGAACAGAGATGTATAGATTGTAATGAAGAAACGCAGACACCTTAGCCACAAGATAAATATCCGCTTTGCTACCCTGCACACTGCTGACCAGTAAGGGGTAAAGGAAAAATAAGGAAGAGGAATGAGAAAGGGAAAGATATGAGTATAAGTGCGTGCCCACGTGAATGACGCGAACGTCACAGTGGACTAACGAGGTGTGAATATATACATTGCGACCGTTATCTGGAGCCGAAAGCAATGTGGTATAATGCGTGTGCTTTCGGCGGCATCATAACCCTACAGGCTGTTTTCAATATGTGAGCAGCAGTGTCACTGCATACGGTGAAATGTTCCAAATTATATTCGATGAGTGCATTATTATTTTTATAAAATTTCCAATTTGCTTACTACTAACTAGATAGCATGCCGTAGCTAAGCGAAGTTAAAACATTCATTGTCACAATGACGACATAGCTCCACCAAATTTATGACTACAACAGAACGAGAAAACAGAAAATTCCGATGTATTTTGGGACATGGCATAGTATAGTATGGTATGGTTGCCTTGCTATCTATCGCGAGGTTCTGTTGGTACTGTTGCGTCAGCGGGCTACTGTAGGGCTACAACAAATATGGTGTGGCAATCTGCTGTGACAATTTTTGTTGGGACTTCTCGTTGCCTGTTGCGACAACACATTTTGATGTGGTACTGCAAAGATTTGTTGTAATAAATCTCTTTTAGCAATATACATGCGAAAAACTTCACTTCAGTTGGCATGAATAAAAAGTAATGTTTCACAACAGCCTGAGATGTCTGCGTGGAATAAGGATTCTGCTGCAACTACAGAAAAATGTGGTTGTCGTCATGGACAACTTCTATTGTCATTTTTAACTGGTAGTCTCTGCATGCTTAACACATCCCATTCTTGTTTTATATAGCGATAGATTTGGGGCCAATTGGCTTGATTGATGTTTGACTTTAACTACGGGCAAGCTGCAGTGACTCAAATGTTTTCGCTTTCAGATTAGTTCCCGAAAAAATTGTACGTGCCATGTACGAGTGCAAAAGGTTGCAACTACACGAAACTAGCAGACAAGGAAGCCGAGAAAAAACATGTGATGTAAATAAGAGTGCCGTTCAACGACCAATGCACTAATTACCTAGCTATTGATTGATATGTGTGGTCTAACGTCCCCAAACCATTATATGATTTTGAGAGACGCCGTAGGGGAGGAGGGCTCTAGAAATTTCGACCACCTGGGGTTCTTCAAGGTGCACACAAATCTGAGCACACGGGCCTACAGCATTTCCGCTTCCATCGGAAATGCAGCCGCCGCAGCCGGGATTCGATCCCGCGACCTGCGCGTCAGCAGCCGACTAATTAACTAAATAACAACAACTATTTACCATATGGGTACACTAGCTATCTAACGTTCATTGGATATTTATCTAATGACGATTAATAATTAGTACAACTACTAATCAAGAAAGTTAGCATATATAGTATTGGGTAATTAATCGTATACTTTTATTCATTATTGTAAATAATAATAACAACAAATTGATAACATATTCAGCTCTCCTTAGGCTTTTCTCTCATGCCACCTGTTATTTTGCGATACGTCACAGGTACGCGCCAAGGGAGCGTATACCAACGCGCTCGGCAGTGGGCGTGGTGCGTGACGCGTACACCGAGTGCCAGCGGCTGGGAGACCGGTGCCGTGCCTTCGTCATCGAGTACGGAAACTTCCAGTCGGCATCGTGGCTCTCCACCGCCGCCGAGGACAACCGGCAGCTGCTGTCTGCGAACCCCGTCATGGCCTACTTCGAGAAGATATGCCTCCAGGGTAACGGTCCGGCAAAGAAACTTTCGTTCCATGTAACGATCCCTCAATTGTCTGCGAGAATTACATCGGGAGGCCCGAGGTTCGCGAACACTATAGCGATATCTGGGGTCCCAAAACTACGACGTCGTTACGAGAGACACCGCAGTGAAGGGTTCCTGAAGTGGACCATCTGGAGTTCTTTAACTTGCACTGACATCGCACAGTAGACACGCCTCTAACATTTCGCCTCCATCGAAATGCGACCACCGGAGCCGGGGTTCGAACCTGAGACCTTCGGTTCAGCAGCCGAGCAGCACAACCACTGCTCTACCACGGCGTACGTTGCATGAACACAACAGATAGTGAAGGAAGTTGAAGACCGGCAGGGAGGTTAACGAGAAAAAAGATTCAGGTTGGCTATCTTTTGATGACGATTCAAGAAGAGGGACATAAAGATGAGAGAGAGAGAGAGAGAGAGAGAGAGAGAGAGAGAGAGAGAGAGAGAGAGAGAGAGAGAGAGAGAGAGGATAAGAATAGGTGCTCATAATACGCCGTACCCATCTCTCGTCGGCCCATGAGGCAGTGAAGACACTTTTGGGCTTTCTGAGTGCTTGTGAGTACATTTCTCACTTGTGGTACAGTTCAACCTACGTCAGTAACTTTACAACAGGCTATGCACGAATTTTATTTTAAAAGCCTGTTCGTGCTTAGTTAAAAAACAAACAAAGGACATTAGCTACAATTAGCAAAGAGAAAACCGGGCGGGCAATTGCCTGCAAATTATGCAAGGCTAGATCCGCCGGCTACCTACAACATCCTCAACCTCTCAGACAATCAAGATTAATTAAAAGTTCGGGGGAAATCGCACGACGCAGATTTTAAGTGAAGGTGAAGGACATATACACCTTTAAGAGAAACGGAAGTGGACGAAAAAAAAATCGTCGCCAGTCGTATCCGAGCCCCCAACCTCCGCACTGCTTGTATGGTGACTGTACCAGTTGTGCTACGGCAGCAGCTACGTTCTCGACGGCATTGTTGGTTGCGTGAGGCACTGTAGTACCCTAATGTGCGGTCATATGTGTTGCCGTATGCGCACATGAATTATAATCTATAGCAATAATCAGCTACAGAAGCCGAGACAACGTACCGGTCCTTACCAATTGAAGTAACCGCTTTCACGAAACTGGTAGCTCTTCTCTTGCTGTCCCTGCATTTCACTTCGGCAGCCTATAGATGCCAAGGTAACGTCAAGACAACGTTTAGCGTCAGCCGTATGTCATGTAGTAATAAAAAAGTATAATTCACTACGCAAAATGGTCCCTGTCGGCGATAAAAGCACTTGTTACTGTAACTGCATGCATAGACTCGTGCTGAAATTTAGGTAAAATAATAAAAAGGTGCAAATATGGCAACGGTAGCTTTTCAGGGATGATATTTCTTCAACATGAGTAATATCCGTTCATTGCACGATGGAATCGGTCGATTACACCAAACTCGCCTATGAATATACGATAAGATAACGAGAAGGTACCTCAGTTTACGCGACGTGCGATCCTTCTGGCTGAACAGTACACGCTTGAGAACAGTTTCTACGCGCGCAAGACTCATTACCTGATGATGAAAACCGGCCGTGACACTCATATACATTAAGCCTACGCGCTCCAACGAGATTTCGCCGTTATCGCCCACTTAATTAAAAGAGTAGATGGGCGCACGTACACGTAGGCTAAAAGGACGTAGTGGTACATTTTGTTATCCCTTGATCGTAAAAAGGAAGCACCCACGACGCGATTGCTGAACACCGGTGCAGTCAATCTCGATCTTTTCACACACTTGACACGTGCGTCTAGTCGCGTAGGAGCAATATATATGCACATTTTGTGGCACCTCGCTGAGACCGCCGCAGGACTTTGAATCGGAAGGAAGCCTGCAGGGAAAGTTCGGTCGAGGTTGCAAACTCCTCTCTGCGACCGGAAGCGCAAGAGATGCTAGAGACAGGGACATTTTGTCACGTTTCAACAACAACTACAGAACAGGTAGAGGTGAAGTTATTATAGGCGTTCAATATCTGCTGTCGTACCCGAAAGAAAGACGCGTCAAGTGATAGGCGCCTACGAAACACCATCCAATCTGCTTTGTTTGGCAGGCTGTGACGCCCGAGGGAACGAAAGCGGATAACGGGAAAAAAAAAAGCGACGACAATAAGGATGAATGCAGAACGAAGCAACGGACGCGGTAATGAACGAGGGCCGAGGCAAGCTCGGCGTGGCCTTTCGCGCGAGAAGACCGGACTGCAGCTTTGCGTCACCGATGTTGTCCGGTGCCCGATGTGCCACACAAAAGCGAAGCGAGAGCTCTCGAAGCGAGCAAGGCGCGTCGGATAGGGAGAGTATTGCGGTGTGTGTGTTGGGGCGGTAAGTTCATTAACCGCCACGCGCATAATGACCCACGCGACCAGCTAGACTGGCGCGTTTATACACCCGGCCACGGCCGGAGGCGGCGCGGATGCGTGCAGGAAAAGTCAGCTTCGCGCAGTCGAGGGGAAGAATAGTAACTAATGGCAAATAAAAAAAACGGCGAGGAGCGAGTAAGAGAAAGAGAGGGAGACGTAAAAAACGCTCGAACAAAGAAAATTGAACGCGCATTTGAACACTGGAGCCGCGGATGGCTGGCGGGCGGGCGGAATTGCAAACAAGCGAGTTGGTTGCCGCGTACGACGCGGTCCATGGTTGCGGATGTCGAGTTTTTGGAAACAGGAAGAGGAGTGCAAAAAACAGAAAGGAAGGATTTGGAAAATGACATAGAAAAATAGAGGGTGAGCCGCTTGGGACGCAGTGTAGGCAGTGGAACAAGCAAGTTGGGGTTCTCTGGGAGTATAAAGCTGACGCTGCGTCACAGCGTGGATGCCGAAAATAAGTGCGTCGGTGTGTTCATTCGTTCTCGTTTGTGAGTGGCAGCGTGTTTGCGTGTGTGAGGGAGAATGCGGTCCCTGGATGTTGGATAGGGTGGTTGGTACTCGAATTCTCAACGTCAGCCCTTTCGGGCACAATTTTCCCGGGATTTGTCGTATTTTACGATATGCGCTTGCTTGTTTGCGTGCCATATGATCAAAAGAAGAAAGCTAGAAGATAAAAAAAAACACTAATAACATGCGAACATAGGAGAGAGAGAAACTAAAGCCCGTATTCATAAACGCTCCTTGACTTGAACTTGACTTGGAACCGCCTTCAGTGCAGCACGTTTGAAACGCGTCTGTGCGTTTTTGCTGCCTTGACACCGCCATAGAGTTTCCCACAATACTTACTAGAGGGAACTCCGGTGTTAGTGTCTATGGGAGCTGCAACGCACGGCGCTTCAGCGAGCATGGGAATGATGGGTAGTACGAACATTTGTCTAATATTCGTACTTCTGGCCTGCCTTTGGCTTCGTTTGTGTTCGTGTGGCTTGGAGCTGTTTTTTTACGAAACAAGTATGAGCAAATGTTCAGCGGTTGCGCTTCACCATTTTATTTTTTAGACTTACTTTGCAAATTGGCTCACGAAGTTCAAAAGGGTCGAATCTTTCTTTCCAAACAAAACCGAAACACAGCAATAAACTAAGCCGCCCGCAAGTACGAAGACTCGGCAAATGTGTGTACTACCCATTATTCCCATTGTCGCTGAACGATCGCAGCGCCAGAGTGCCCTCTAGTTAATTTGGAGAAACTCTATGGGCACCGCCTGAAGACAGTGCGTTCGAAACGCGTTTGGGCTGCATTGAAGTCAGTGGCAAGTCAAGTTTCAAGTCAAGCAGCGTTTCTGAATATGGGGGTTAGTCAACCCAGCGTTTTAGTCTGGGTAAGAAAAGCTCGCAATAAATACATAGGAAACGAAGGCCTCTAAGGCGCCGGAGAAGTTGGAAATCATTGCCAAGGGGGAATGTACAGTACGGTCCACTGTTAAATAAAACAAACGAATGAGCACTTCTCACATTGCTGGACCCCTAACACAAGGCGGCCGGGGAAACACGGTTAGAGCACGGTTGTAGATTGTCAAAAGGAGCCTACTTTCAGCCTTCAAGTAGTCCTACCCAGATCAGGCCTTTCCCAAGAAAACGAAATCTGAATAGGCACTGCACGCAAGTGCTCTCTTTAACAAATGACCGGACTCTAGAGTGGCGCTGAAGATATCCTAGGCTGAAATTCAAGGTCATCTTATGGTAACGCAGCCTCGGAACTTTTGACCACCCCTTATCATGTGAAATGGGGGATGAATCATGATTCCTATTCGCTTCTGCACTGTGAGGACATAACAGGTGACATCTCTCTTTGATAATGAGAATATGGCGTAAGCGTGTGCACAAATTGTTTTACAAGGTAGTCTAAATGTCTTATTCACCACGAACTGAAAACACCAAAGCCAAGACACCACTTGGCCGAAACCCACTTCGCAAAACCCTTTTGGGGACACTAGGAAAACTAACAATGTAATCCACGGATGCACGCTATTAACTATGTGGGCTTTGCTGAAAACTAAAAAAGACACATCTGTTCCGTTGTCCTTTTGTGCGAAAAGGTCCCTGAAAACAGAGCCAAGAGGAACATAAAGGGGAGGTCATACCTAAAGGTGACCAATTATCTACCCTACATCGTAACTAAACTGGGAATTTAAATAGTAAAATAGGGATAGAGGAGAGAGGGGGAGCACTGCAGTTGCAGAAGTCGTGTCAATAGTCATGGAGGTCTACCTTTCTGAAGAGCTGAAGGTGAGGAACACTACGGCGTCTGACTTCGAGAAGTTTCAGTCTTTAAGCACACTTTCTGAACTTGCTGGTCTTGGAATCCAGCGGGTGTTGTATGTTTGACATAAGAAGTACTTTTTGAAAAGAGCAATGTTAATTCATATGTCAATTCAGGACAGCTTCAGTGGTATCGTAACACTGTAGTTAATGACGCACTTAGGCCTTACGACGGTATCGGAAAGACACCACGTCGTGCGCATAAACATGCACGAGAAAACCCAATCCCACGTGTAGGCGTCTTACGTTATCTATGATATTAACAATGATTCTGACTATGTATGTATGTATGTATGTATGTATGTATGTATGTATGTATGTATGTATGTATGTATGTATGTATGTATGTATGTATGTATGTATGTATGTATGTATGTATGTATGTATGTATGTATGTATGCACGTATGTATGTATGTATGTATGTATGTATGTATGTATGTATGTATGTATGTATGTATGTATGTATGTATGTATATATGTATGTATTTTACGGAGCCCTTGCTATTCCCAATTATATCCACTGGCGCAGCCAGGGTGGCGGGCAGGGGAGGGGGATTGGAATTCGACCTTTGCGAAAGTATTCGTTTTTGTATGTGTATATTAAACACGCAGTCGCACACATAGAAATGCACGTACGAACACGCTTACAAAGTGGATAACCCCCCCCCCTCCCACACACGCACACACCGGCTCTGCTACTCATCATGTCACGTACTGCGCCAATCATACATCTGAGACAACCCTACCGCTCGCTCTCCCGTTCCTCCTCTCCCGTTAACACGGCGTCGCGCAATGCAGAGCCCACGTGCGGCAAGATGTGGTCCTTCGAGCGGACCGTGGGCCACACGTTGGGTGGCGACGCGGACCGCGAAGTGCCGGGCGTCCTGCGGCGCGCCCAGTGCGAGGACCTGTGCCTGCGCGAACGGACGTTCGTGTGCCGCTCGGCCACCTACCAGCAGTCGCGGCTCCTGTGCCGGCTGCACGCCGAGAACCGGCGCACCCGGCCGGCGCTGTACGCGCGCACCGCCGAGGACGTCGACTACCTGGAGAACACGTGTGCCCCGGGTGAGTATGCAGCTGCTGGACTGGCCAACGCATGTGGCGCTTCTATGCCCAATCGGATAAGAGAATTTCAAGTGTACACCTGCTGTAGTTAAAGCCTCATTTGCGTAAACAAGACGGAAGAAACATTGAGCCATTGCCGTATCGAGGAAATGGGCGCGTGCATGTGTGATTTACTGCCTCTTTCTTTCTTTCGTTCTTTCTTTCATTCGGTCATTCAATCTTCCTTTCCTTCATTATTTCTTTCATTCTTTCATTCTTTCTTTTATTCATTCATTCATTCTTTCTTTCATTCTTTCTTTCTTTCATTCATTCTTTCTTTCATTCATTCTCTCTTTCATTATTTCTTTCTTTCTTTCTCTCTTTCATTTTTACTTTCTTACTTTCTTCCCTTCTTTTTATATTTCTTTCTCTCTCTCTTTTTTTTTCCTTCTTTCTTTCTTTCTTTGTTTCTAGCGCAGCGCGACTTCCTAACTGCTAGCATGCTAGGAACCTAACATGATAAGAACCATCGTCCGCGTGCTTGGCGGTGTAACACTTGAGTCGATGCAGGCAACAGCAAAAAAAAAAAAAGAAAAAACGAAAAAAATCTTGCGCTGATACGAGGCTAGGCAGCAAAAAAAAAAAGTGGCAACCTCAAATGAGAAGCTACTGCGATAAAAAATCAGATTGTGATATCAGAAACGCTTGATCACCAACCTTGTGACCAGTTGACCTCAGGGGTCCACGTTCAAGTATACGCTTCGCGGTGCCGGAACTTGTATACACACGACGCCGCAATTGTCGCGGTGACCAGAATTCATGTGTTGGTGACGAGCTAAGCAGCACATTTCAAGCCGTCCTTGCGCTGGTGCGCACAGTTCATGGCAAGTCAGCCACCGAAGAAGGCGTGAGCCTTCGATGTCGTCGTCCCTGAGTGGGGCAAGTCTTGAAGACGTTGTTGACGCAACCTCTTCAATAGTAGGAATCGAAGAAATATACTACGTTCAGCGCTTTGGAGGCCGGAACCATAGTTTCCTAGAATTAACTAGAGGGGACTCTCGCTGCGATCGTTCAGCGACCATGGGAATGATAGGCAGTAGACACATTTGCATAGTCATCGTACTTGCGGGTGGCTAATCGTACTTCCGGCTTCGTTTATTGCTGGTTACGGTTTTGTTTTGAAAGAAAAATTCAACCCTTTTGAAATTCGTGACCCGATTCGGAAAGGTAAGCCTAAAGCAATAAGGTGGTGAAGCGCAACCGCTGAACATTCGCTGATTTTTGCTTCGAGAGAAAACAGCTCCAAGCCATACGAACACACGCTGAGCCAAAAGCGGGTCAAAAGTACGAATATTAGACAAATGTGTGCACTATATACCCATCAATCCCACGCTCGCTGAAGCGCCGTGCGTTGCAGCTTCCATAGACACTAGCGCCAGAGTTCCTTCTAGAGTATATTAGGAAACTCTATGGCCGGAACTACCAAGTTACCGGTCGACAATGAGGCTGCACTGGCCCAAATAGTGGATGCGTTGCACCTCATCATTCGAGGAGAGCGCGTCGTTATCGTACCCCTGGGATTCCAAGTTACTTGAGTCATAGAGTTTCCTAAAAGTAACCAAAGGGGACTCTGGCGATGGGATCGTTCAGCAGCCACGGGAATGATGGGTAGTAAACGAATCTGCCTAGTCTTCGTACTTGAGGGCGGCGAATCGTACTTACGGCTTCATTTATTGCTGGTTACGGTTTCGTTTTGAAGGAAAAGAACGAACCTTTTTGAACTTTGCGACCTGATTCGAAATAGTAAGCCTAAAAAAAAAATAAGGGGGTGAAGCACAACTTTTGCTGATTTTTGTTTGGTAACAAAACAATTCCAAGCAACACGAACACACAACGGAGCCAGAAGGAGGCCACAAGTACTTCTGAATTCATACAATACAGCAAGCTATATAGTTTACAGTATTTAACATTGCCAGAATTTCAAAAGTTCATGCGTTCCGTTTTCTAAAATCCGATATAAAAGTTATAGTGCGTTATGTTTTGTTTTGTTTTTTTTTCATTTATTATTGCATATTCTGCAGTAATGCGTCTATATACTCATCACCATTCACAGGCACGTTTATATTCGCAGAGCTGCCGAATAAGAGGCGCGCGCCTGTCAATCGTGATAATGGCACGGCCCGCACTATGCCGTCCCGAAGGCAATTGCCACTGTTCGGGTTTCTCACTTGACGCCCGTGGTATACGTGTGTGTAAACGCAAATCGATCAATCAAATCGAAATCAGACGTCAGCACGTATAATCACCAGTGGCGAATCGCCAGATTTCCGCCCTTCCTTGTGCGCCTCGTTCTCGCAGAGCCGTCGACGTGCCAGTACCGCGAGCACGTGGATCGGTTCCTGCCCATCATCGACCGGCTGGGCCACGCGTTCAGCCTGGCCGAGTGCCAGCGCCAGTGCGACCTGGAGCGCCTGTTCAGCTGCCGCGCCGTCAACTTCGAGACGGTGCACCGCGACTGTGCGCTGAGCAGCGAGGACGCCCACAGCACGCCGCTGGGAACGGCCGCGCTCGCCTACCGAAGATACTCGGTCTACAGCGAGAAAGGGACGTGCGAACAGGGTTTGTCTCAACAATTATGTTGTGGTCACCTGGTAACTATTTTGATAACCCCATTGAGAAAGACAGGCTTGTGTGAACGCCTCTGACATGCGGTAGAGTTCTACACGCTGCAGTGAAATTACTGTCAGTCTCTCCCCCACCCTTTTTTTCTTTTCCCTCTCTTCCCTCTTTCTCGTATTTCTTGTCCCCTTCCCTAATCCCCCAGTGTAGGGTAGCCAACCGGATGTGCGTCTGGTTAACCTCCCTGCCTCTCCTTGTATCTTTATATCTCTCCCCCCATTGCTTAAATGGCTAATGACACGTTTATGTTCATCGTTTAGCACGTACACCAAGGTCGATCGTCACGAGTGCCGTGAAGTCAAGTCCCTACATTGCGTTTTCGGTTTCCGAGCCTCTGTCAAGCTGCACGCTGTCGTTTGTGACCCGCAAAACAATTTCACATGCAATTTCACATGCATAAAATTGCAACCATTCTGAAATTGCAACCATTCTCTGCCCATCATCGTTCATAGAAAATATCAATAGTAACTTTTTATGTTAAATCTTTGGCTTCTATGTTTTGTGTTTATAATTACCCACCAATTATGTAATACCCCCTCGCGGGTCTTTAAGGAAATAAAGTGAAATGAAATTTGGAAAAATAAAACATTGGATCTTGAATCTGACCCATAGGTACGATTACCGATAAATCAGTACGAATCTTTAGTGAGTACGCAATTTTTTTTTCTGCGTTTGCGGTTCATCGGATTACCGGCGAAAGTCGTCAGCTGATGTAGTGGCGGGAAACTCGACCAGGAAAGAACTACGAGCTAGTTTTGAGCGTTTAGGTGCATTCCGCTTCGCTTGTGACGTGTATTTTATTACCGTAAACACCCTCGAAGAAAACACAAACAAGAGTGTATGCTTATGTTGTCGCAACACACCTGCACACACGCACACGCACTAACACACTCAAAATTAAACGTCCGGCCGAGGAGCGAATTCCGTAACTTGAAAAAGCAAGAAATGATTCGCACCCATCAATGGCGTACCAAACATGTGCTGTCTGATCCGCGCATCAGCCAAATGTAGCCGCTAGTTCAACGCATATCGTCTGTGAACCTTAAGGCAACGTTTCATCAGAGGCCAGTAACAAATACAAATTTTTAAACATGGTTATCGTTATTAGTTTTAAGAGTGAGTATTTTCTTGGTTGACACTGGAGATGCCTGGCCGATCCCCTGTTCACGAAAAAAAGAAAAGAAATAGTCCTCAATTCTTTCGCCATGATAACCTTTTAAACACATCCAATCTAAAAATGCTGCTCGAAATAGCAAAAGAAGCCCGATTAAAATTCTTGTTTCAAATCATTAACAACAGTTTCAAGATAAACGTGTCGAAGTACATTTGCTTTTCCGAATCCCGACCTTACACACCAAAAGCATGCCTGTACACTAATAGAATATTCATATAGCAATGAAACTTTGAAACATTCCTTTTTTCCACTTGCCATTAGGGAATGGGATCAACTACAACCATCTATCACAAACATCAAATCATTCTCAGAATTTGCTAACAAAATAGCAGGCACAAACAACTAATCCTCGACACAGGAAGGGCATAACTACCGGCTGATTTTTTGTTTTATTTCTTAATTTTATTTACATTTGAATATTTTTCTTGGGATGCGCCATTGCTGTTCAACATTACCAAGTTCAGTCCTAATAGCGTGATGAATGTATTACTTGCATATATTTAGTAAATGCACTTTGCTCTTGTATTATATTTATTGTCTATTATTATCTCCTAAAGAAAACATTGATCACAAGCAATGCATGTCCTTAGATCTTATATTAATTAGTGCAAGTGCTGTGAGAGTCTCCCTTAAGCTATTCTAGTAATGCTATTTGTTCGTCTATTATATTTGCTGTCTAGTGTTATTGCCTAAATAAAACGTTGATCGCGAGAAATGCATGTCCTTAGATCTAGTAATAAGTAGTGCAAGTGCTATATCAGAGTCTTCCTCAAACTATCTCAGGTCAATCTCCATTTGTTCCAACTTTTTTTTGTGTGTCTGTGTGTACAGTGAGCGTGCAGTGCAACCAGCAGGACATGCTGCTGGCGATGAACTTCGACACACCATTCCACGGCCGCGTCTACGCCAAGGGCAACCCGTCCCAGTGCTTTGTGGTCGGCAACGGCCAGAACACGCTCCAGTTCGCCGTCTCCCTCGGCACTCGCTGCGGCACGCTGACCGAGGTTCGCTCTTCTTCGCATCGATATGTGGTAACATTTAGTGTGAACGCTTTAGCGGCACCATGAAAAGTTGAAGGTGGTGTCCGTATAACGATAATTGTTGAAGTTTCAAGACCCAAAACGACGATATGATAATTTTGATCATCTGATGTCTTTTTAACGAGCTCTGTCGTGTTTGCCATCAAGCGTTCTTTTTTTTCCAAGCCAAATTCGCGCTCCCCCTACGCAAGATGTCGAATCAACTAGCTTGCCCCGCTGCGGTGGTCCAGTGGCTAAAGTACTCATCTGCTGACCCGCAGGTCGCGGGATCGAATCTCGGCTGTGGCGGCTGCATTTTCGAAGGAAGTGAAAATGCTGTAGGCCCGTGTTCTTAGATTCGGGTGCCAGTTAAAGAACCCCAGGTGGTCGCAATTTCCGGAGCCCTCCACTACGGTGTCGCTCGTAATCATATGGTGGTTTTGGGACGTTAAACCCCACATATCAATCATCAATCGAGCGAACTCGGCCAATAGCTGACCATTTTAAAGTACCTAAATCTAAATACTACACGGGTCTGCAGCGTTGCAGCTACATCTAAATGCAGCCTCCACGACCGGGATTGTATCTCTCAACCTTCACGTGAGAATTCGAGCACCGTAAGACCACCGTGATGGATAGAAAGCAAAAAAACAAAAAAACGAGTGCTGGTGTCGAGACGAGCGATGCTAAAAATCATCCCGCGTTAACGTCACCATATGGCGTGATCATGATGTTAAGGTAGCAAAAATTTGTGAAGTCATCGCGTGACGTCGTCTTCCAGTGAAAGGTGGCCCCACAGAACAGAGTGAGGTGCGGAAAGCTTGCAGTGCCTTTGATGCCGTATTCGGTGAAAAACAACGAAAAGTACTGAGGGAAACAGCACAACAAATGGGACGGAGAAAGAATGATCACACAACAGAAGCGCTGACGGGCAACTGTGTGTATTACACCGGCAAATATATAGAAGAAAACGGAAACAAAAAGAAACCATCACGTGCACATATTGACATAAAGATGAAGTGCAAAAGGAATTTTCCACTAGTCGAAATGTCTCAAGTTAACCGCTCAAAGGCGTAATCTTTTTATCTATGAGGGTAAGTGAAGGATCACTGACGCACATGTTCCCTCGTGCGCAACCGCACGAGAAAAAATGGGCTGCTAAGGTGTTTTTTGTTGTAGTCGTAAGATTGTTCGCATGCTCTCTCAGGTGGTCGTTCAACAAAAGGAACAAAACGTTTGTGAAAGAGAGAAGGGGGCAGAGGGTAATATCAAGTACAATCGAGGAGAAATAAAAAATGTGGCTTTCGCTTTCGAGTTTTCTTATTGAACGCTTGAAGAACAGTGTGAATTTTTAAGTTATGCTTCACTGCAATAAGACGCTTCATGTGGCAAAGCCAACGTCACGTTATTCTGTAGTTTGGTGAGGATTCAGAGTCGCCCTTGTACATATTGATACCGGTAAGCGTCCCAAGACAAAAAAGAAAAAAACGAACACAAGTGCTCTGTATGTTCATTGTGTTTGTTTTAGGGGCGAATTTTTTTTGGGGTGGGGGCCGTTCCCTCGAGTAGCGGTATGTTGTAGTAATGGCCACTTCTTTAGCTTTACGAATTGCTGCCTAGATGGCGCTGCGTGTATACGTCCTTGGAAACAATATCTCTAGATGGCGTTAGTATTCTTCGTATATAAATTCACAGCATATCCACGGAGTGAACGATGGTGAGTGGGACGAAGCGTCCATCCATCCGTCCGTCACAGACAGACACACGCTTCGCCCCACTCATTATAATTCACTCTGTGGCGCGCATATGCTGTATATATATATATATATATATATATATATATATATATATATATATATATATATATATATATATATATATATATATATATATATATATATATATATATAATTAGCAGCACTTACCAGTTCCTTGCACCGAAAAACTCGTCATAAAATTTGGCACAGCTTGTAGGTGTCGCGCCTGTTTAATACAATAATTCCCCCTAGGGTAAAGAAAACAAACATAGGGTGCATGCATACAACATCTTGAATGCCTTTTTTCTGATCGGACGTAGTAGTTAGAAATCATCAGCGCTGTTTAGAATCTGATGTGTGTCCGTTAAACCTTAGTCTTGCAGCGAAAAAAAATAGCGTAACTTGCACTGCACGTGCGATGCTAAAGATACAGCGAAGATAATGAACACCTGTTCATGATTATGAACGCTTGTTCTCGAACATACTGTCTGTGTATGGGGGGTCGCCTTGGCGTTACCTGTGCCAACTTAGCAGTTAGCCTTGCTTCGCGAAGTGCTGCCTTTTCTTCGGCAGTGCAAACTATCGTGGGTCAGGCTATAGTAACTACTGATCGAGTGCGCCGCCGTGCTCCTTCAGTTGTGTTACCGCGCATGCACCGCATGCACGGTTGTTGCTACTGCGCATGTGAGACGTGACGTCACTGCAGCGGTCACCAGATTCTGCCCGGTATTCTTGCGGCTGTGGCGTCGGGGTGTTCTACGACGATTGTAAAGAGCGTCTATTCTCACAGGGTTGAAATTAAGGGTAGCTAAAACCGCTTCGCTGTTAAAAGGTAGACTGATCCTGCGCACGTTCGCAAGTTGCTCGAAAGCGCCTGTTAAAGCTGGCTTCACCACTGTTTTGTTATATGTGGAGGAAAGCCGGCTTTACTGCTTAACTGACTACTGCTTAATCCACTGTGAAGAGCTACAAGATATGCGTCGGATCTGATCCTACTCGATTAAGCCGAATCCTTGAACCAACTGTCGGAAAAAAAAAAGATATCACCAGTTCATTGTCGTTTCATTTCAAGTTTCCGTGAGGCAAGCTTGCATGCCATTACGGACAGCGTCAATTGCAACTTCTTTTTTCATCGGCTCTATATGTTCACTCGAAGGATACACGCTATCCATTATTCATACTATAAAAGCGTGATAGTTTAACCACAAATACCTCAGGCTGAGTGCCTAATTTGCTTAGTGCTCTTTCGGCGGGCCAGGAAACTAGTGGCTGTACTCGGGACATGGTAGTTGTAGGAAAATGCTTCTGCGAAATGTCGTTCGAGTATCGATGCTGGTCATTCAAAGAGAAGTGTCCGTCAGTGATATTTTCCCACCCAAAATTGCCTGTGACATGACGCCTTTTCTGTACGGACCACTGATCTCATTGAAGATATATTGAAAACATATACATTGGTATAGAGAGAATGAAGAGTCGAGGACATGACTTACCAAATGTGTCGGGGTTCAAACTGTCAGCCCTCTTGGCAAGTGCGATATCACACCAATGCTTTCGAAGCACGCGGAAGCTCGACAACAAACCTTCTAAACCTGTTTGAAAGCACAGAAACAAATACACAACAGTATGAACCCTGGCAGAACTACAAACTCCACAGTTTATAAGCCTAGTTTGATTACGGTCGCGTTTGAACTTTAAGAGTGATCTATGCTCAATTTTTAAGACGAAAGTCTTACATTGCTAATCTATCGCAAAAATTGACCGTCAGAAATGGTAGTGTTAACACTAATCAGCCGAAAACTGTCGTCACGTGATGGCTTCACGTTGGGACATCATGACGCCACTAGACGCCAAAATTCAACTTAATTATGACGTCACTAAGATGTCACACAACGTGGCGTCACATGAGGATGTCACCACCTGACATCGTCGCACGGTCAAAGACAGACCGATCCCGGATGCATCTTAAAACGACGCGAGGTGAGAAAAGGGCAGTGCCAAACTATGTAGCATTCACAAAGCTTTTGATGGGAGTGGGATCAGCACAATCGAGTCCGCCACGGAGGATCAGTGACTATGGCACTTGACTGCTGATTCGAAGGTCGTGGGTTCGATTCCAGCCGCGGCGGTAGTATTTTGACGGAGGCGAAATGGTAGTGGTCCATGTACCATGTGATGTCAGTGTACGTCAAAGAACACCAGTTGGTCTCAGTTTCCGGAGCCCTCCACTACTAAGTACTTCATAATCACGTCGTGGTTTTCGGATGTAAAACCCCAGATATCATTATAATACAATTGGATAAAAACAAGAAGAATGGCTTTCACGTTCCAGTCGTCTGCAAACGCATATAGGACCATAAAGATTTTTGCACTTGTGTTGTTTTATATGTTGAACGTGCTGCGTTAAATGGCTCGCTAGAAAGCACGCTTTCAGTCTTGACTTAAAACGAAATATTAACGATATCATAAACACGTTCTCGCCCAACGAGATTTGACAGCAGAATCTGTGCATGTGAGAATTCCTTATAGAAAACCACACGCGAATAGGAAGCCGGTAGCTCGTTCTAGGCGTAATAGGGTGGAGTTCACGTTCAAGGCAGTCGGTCGCACACATAAACTACAAAAAAAAAAAGCGAATATTTCTACATAAAGCAGTTACGGGGCGTCATAAACCACGCACGAAGTCCTGGAATGTCGACAGAGATTACGCGGGTGAAAGTCAACGGGAAATGCTTTCGGTTTCTCGTGACGCTGGCGGAAACTTCATGCTCGAATGGTTGCATAAATATCCAAGCGCTAACTATTTTACATGTCGTGTGGATGAAACGCAAGTTAGTTTCTCACGATCTAAGTCCTCTCTACCATGCTATTGGCTTGCCCTGACGCCCCTGGCAGTCGTAGATTAATCGTATGCGTGGGAAGAGAGGACTACGAATTGTGATGATGATGATGATGGTGATGATGATGATAATGGTGATGATGATATGTGGGGTTTAATGTTCCAAAACCACCATATGAATATGAGAGACGCCGCTCCGGAAATTTCGACTACTTGGTGTGACTACGAGTTGTGATTGACTTTTTGAGGAAAATGATGATTACTGAAGCGTTGCAACTATACGCTTATCTCTCTCTTTATATTATATATGTGACAATACCTAAGCGTACTCCTTCCCTTCTTCCATGACGATTTGTGAATGACCGGACGACAAAGAACACTGAACGACAGTAACCTGGCCCGCCGTAGTTATTCTCAGACTGCAAGAACAAGGTAGAGCTGTCTAAGCTCGGCTACTTTTGGCTAAATGACCACATACGTCGGTTACCGTGCGCTGAACGACGGCTAACCTTGGCTAAATACAGCTAAATTATTACGAGCGTGTGCGAACACTGGCATGCTACCTATCCGATGTCTTAACAGCAACGTCTTCATCATTCGATTTTAATCAAATGATTGTGCTGCACGCCAATTTCATATAGTGTTGCAATGTTTCAAATATACGTGTTATTTCAACATTCATCACCCGTTTATTCACGTGATGGAAAATGGGGATCCTAATATGAAAAAAAAAATATGTCACACGATTCTATCTATATTTTCATAAGACAACTAAAAGGTGACAAGAATTTTTATTCTCTCCTCAGTCAATGTTACTGAACCTGCCTGACAACTCTACGCTCTAAGCGTGATCTTACACAGCCTCTAGGATCGGAGGAATTGAAAGCTTTGTGCACCCCATTATAATTGGGCCACGTTTGAAGAAACGACGATGTCACGTAATGGTGTCATGATGTGACGTCATGCGACGTGGCTTCACCACATGATGACGATTTCTCACACCTCTCGTGTTGACGCCACCGATGCCGACGCCCATGGTCACCTTTCGTGTTTTGACGAGGCACCTGAATGTGTGTACCGTGTTATGTGTTGCAGAATATATGGCTTCTCACGCACAATAGTCTATACTGGTTCTGTTTTCGAGTTTTTTGTTTTGTTTTTTAACGCAGGGTGATGGTCGCTACGCCAACGAAGTGGTCGTCCAGCAACACCCGATCATCATGACCGACACCGACCGCAACATTCGCGTCGTGTGCTCCTTCGAAGCCGGCGACAGGACGGTCACGCTGGGCTCCAGTTTCGCGCGGAACGGCGCCTACAGCGGTGGTCTGGACGTTACGTGAGTCGTACACATTGCCGCACTCCCTTGTCAAGTTTTCTTATCAGCCCATTACACGTGTAAGTGCTGCGTAGCGCAAGCCACGCCGAACGACCAAGAACAATCGAGATAATCTTGGGAACTTTTCAATGCGATCGCGCGCACAATGCGAGCATTACAGTTTCTTCAGGGCACACGTGACTGCTAGCGATAACACTGGAACATTCGAGGCCACACGTGTAAGTTCCGACGCGTTCCACCTCTCGTCATTTGGTCGACAGCTGACGCCCTGTTCACCGCTATCAGTGCCAGCATGTATAACTGTAATCTGAGTTTCCGCTTACCGGCTGCAGGTTCAACCAAATGAATACTTTTGTCTTGGACGTACAGAATGCTGCCACCGTCAACATCGCCACCACGTGAAAATATTTATACGTGCGTGAACACGAATGATGGAGAGTAAGTAACATCGTCACGGTGGTCACGTAACTATATTTGCTGCAAACATTGCGGCCAAACGAGAGGATTTGCCAGATATCTGTTTCGAGGAGGCATTACGTTTGAATGCGGAACTAGTTGGCTTCTCCGGGATGTGCCACTGTATCATTCGCTAAGCCTCTCTACTGCAGCGCTGAAATGCAGGCAGACTTTCTTGAAAAAGCACGAGGAAGCACTGCGTTTTAATTGGGCATCAGTATTATAATAAATAATGAGGTATTAGGCGCCGAAATCGCGATATAGTTATGAGGGACTCAGAGCTCGCGGGTGGGTTGGGAAGGGGGGGGGGCGCACCTGGAATTTCGAGCTCCTAGAGTTCTTCAACATGCACCTAAACCAAAGTACGCTTGTGTGCTTCGCATTTCGCCGTCATCAAAACACAGCCGCCAAAGTCGGGAATCGAACCCACGCCCTCCAGCTTTTTGTTTGAGAAAGGGGATTCTTTGGAATGCATACAGGTCGACCTGAACTAGTGCGCTCTAGCCTGCGCTACTCGGCACATGGAAGAAGAAAAAAATATGACTGGGCAGGAAACTGTAGCGAGACCACTTTGTTACGTGGTTCCCGTATATATGAAGAGCATTTTCTTCTTTCATCACTCCTTATTTCCCTCCAGCTTAGCAGTGCAACACCGTACGTGCTAAGATACCACAACAGCTTAGTAGGTTCGAATATAGATAAGTTTTCCGATAAGCTTTCCTAGCACCATAGGCTTGTGCACGAGAAGGACAGGGCGGGGGGAGGGGGGCAGCTACCCCCTAGTAACCTAAGAGGGGGGGGGGGCACGTCAGCCCCACAAATTGATAAAACAGTGAGAAGGCGCCCTGCGACTATCCTTGCTCCCTCCCCTAATGGGTTACCAGACCCACGTCAATGCCTCCCACTACTGATACGAGAAGCTTCTTTCTTATATATATCCGAACAATCAAGTGAACGCATTAGCGATTGGTTTACAATCCTGTTTAAAATGACGAATGTTTTCTTTTTCCGAATTTTTTATTTGCGCACGTGTAGATATTGCTTTAATGTTCCGTTATCGCACATGAGCTCTTTCTTCCATGTTGTTCGTCGCTACAGCAGCTCTTGCCGGTGAATATTACTATTTTTTATCGATATGATGTAAAACGAGATCTTGGCACACAAATTACGCGCCGGCTATTTCTTGACTCCTGAGTGAATCGAGCATACAAATCAACAAATAAATATGTAGAAGATAGACACACAGAAATACAGATGTAAAAAAAAACCCAAACACACGTCAAACAACGTTATCATAATGCAAAAGAAAATGTCCTAACAGCAATTAACAATGCCTCTATATATCTGGTTATCACGGGGATCCGTACATACGGGCAACATATGCATCAGAACATACATATGATAAGTATCATATGTTATACATATAGTTGTTTGAGCTTCTGTTGTGAATGTGTTATCTTCTTTTCGCTATACTGACACTTGCAGGTGTCCCTCCTATGTGAATATGGTTTTCTCGCTGCGCATGCTGCCACAGATGCTTTCATTTTCGTGTATATTCTGACTTTTGTAACCACAGAAATGACCATTTCAAGGTATGGTGAAGATAATAATTAGCCCAGAGATTGCAGTTTATTCAGCCGTGTAACCCGTAAGCGTCCCTTAATCAGGTCGGTAAGTACTGGTCATTATCGTTACCGTGATAAGAAGGAGGAGAACAAGGACAAAACAGAGGTAGGATGGTTAATCATGGCGGAGACCGGTAGGCCAACCCACACAGTGGAAGGGGGGGGGGGGGGGAAGGTGGAAATAAAGTTACCAATACACAAGAGGTACCACTGCGTTGTACTTCGACGCAGAGCAGAGCGCCTGATGCTTTCGTACAATAGACTCAAAGGGGTGATGATGCGGGCTCGATATGCCGGCTCTTTCGCAACTGCTGCTCTGTACAGTTGAACGCCGTGAAACCAGCTCGAATTCGTGATTGCCCGCAGAACTCGCCACCAGCCGACCATAACGTCCGTCGTGACCAACACCGCCCCGCCGCCCAACGTGGTCATGCGAATCCTGGACCCCAGCGGGCGTGATGCAGGAGTGGTCGGCCTCGGGGACGAGCTCACGCTCAGGATCGAAATACAAGAACCCGGCAGTAAGAGCTCGCCCCCGTTTCTTGAACTCGTTCTTGCTCCAAAGCGCATGTCGACCTCTCTGATGTCGTGTTTTCGGCTGTTATTTTGTATTCGATGGTGCTTCCACGACTTCTCTGTCAAGCCATCTGAGATCCGATAAAGCAGCAACCGCTACCGAATGCTGTCAGTGATAATGAGCATCCAGAAGGCCTAAACGGTGTCAATAACAACGGGGGACAGTAATACATAGTTCCCCACGACAAAGTGACACGTTACGCGACTGTAAAAATGTATTCACGCGAGCCCTTATCATTTAATAGATAATCGAGTGCAACGAACAGTGGCACACGCACTAGCGTTCTACAAAGTGAGTGTTATCGTAACGGTAAAGGCGAGACCATACATTTTCCGCATAAGTCACATGACCAATAGAGCTACAGCCTACAGAGCAAAAAATATTTATATCAAAAGAAATGAATTTCTGAAGTGCTTGAGTTCATCTCCTCCGTGCATATTGAAACATTCAGCTCATGGATCAGTAAACATAAACAATAAAGTTTGCGATTCAAAGAAAAAATTGAATAATTAGAGCACAAGACATATATGAACACAGATTGCTGCGTAGGTATTGCCTAATTTATGAACGCCACACATATCTCCTCAAGACTCCTAAGATCTGCATACGATAGAATCGTGATAACAATATCGGGTGTCTAACGTCCCAAAACCACGGAATGATTACGAGAGACGTCGTGGCTCCGGAAAGTCTGACCGTCTGGCATTTCTTAACGTGCCCTGACTTCGCCCAGTACAAGGGGCTCTATACCACTTGGCCTCCATCGAAATGCGACCGGTACCGAACCCGTGACCTTGTGGTCAGCACCGCAACCATTACACCACCACGGAAAACATCCGATAGATAATGCAAAAAGCACAGAAAAACATGGAATGTTTCGTACTTTCCCACTAGTTATTATCGGGATATGCCTCACAGCAAATTGATTTTAGCCAACTAGATTTGCCTGACCTGTATGAGTCCTTCTTAGTCTCAAATTGAATTCTAGAGGTGTTCCTTATCTGCATTTATTTATCAAAAAGGCCTATTTTACAATCTGAAACCTGAAATAAATTGCTGCTGTTCTGGTGTACGATGCAGGCGTCATGTATGTCAAGTTCTGTGTAAGATAACGTGATGTTCTGTTTGCGCAACAAATAATGAAGTATTTCTTTTATTAATGTGGTGGTTTAGTCAAAGTATGGGATACCATTGTATTCCCAGTGGTTCTTTTTTTTTTCAAAATGCACGATAATACTAACAAAGTTCATGTGCCTTTGCGGCTGTATTTGCCAACACGGTGGCGAATGACTCCTTCAAGTCATCCGTGTATGACTTTGCCATTCGCCTCCCATCACAAGTGACGGGTCGATCAATCAATCAAGCAATTAGTCAATATCAGAAACACTGAAAAGTGGGTCTGCATGAAGGAGTCTCCTCAAGAGTCAATATAAAGCATCGAGTCGTTCGCTAAAACAGCGTTGTATTTAAATGCACCGAAGTTCATCTTCACGTAAAACATTTCAAGGTAATGAAGGCAATACTAATTATTCATTTACGCAATTGATTCACGTTCCAGGTGCATTCGCAATTTTCGCAAGGAACCTTTACGCCAGGAGTTCCAATGGCGAATCACTTTTCCTCATTGACAGCCTGGGGTAAGTAAAAAAAAAAGCCTTATCTATCATTGCAAAGAATGCATTACATATGAGGCTGTTGTCGCTGTGCATGATCACTGTAGCTTTAAGAATATGTATATTCGCTGTAGCTTCAATGTCGTTCAGTTTTTAATGGTGTTATGAACATATATCGCACAAGTACATTACTGCTGAAGAACCCGCAAGGTAAATTCAGTGTTAAGGGTTTACCTTTTTTCTGGCACACAGCATAACGAACGCATATTATTATCAACGAACAACAGATCAGCCACCGCGGAATGCTATTTGTTACGCTTATGTTATACTCGTAGAATTTTTACGCAGCACATGTTTTTTTGGAAACTAAGGTGTAAATTCCGCCACTGAGGAAGATGCAGAAGTGTTAGGGTCACTTAACACGCACCGATAAACTTTGGCAGCGACAACGCCCTAGATACGGAGATGTGAATGACGTGTAGCTTGCAACTCATGAAAAGAGGAGTGTCCACAGAAACGTGTTAATGAATGAATAGATGAATGTATGAATGAATTTGAAAATATGGGAGTTCCCACGTTCACGAAAGCCTGGCTCCATATGCATTACACTCAACGCTCATAGTTTCCTTCATCTACCATAATAAATAAGTCGACACTATATGAGTGATATTATCTTACTAGAAAAGTGACAACTGTGGTCATGCGCGTGATGAAAACCTACTTGCTCACTCAAAGTTAGAAACAGCAGCCTTTCTAAAAAAAATGTTGACTTCTCGTTTACTCTTACCTGAATTTTGCGCAAGTTCGAACAGTAGCAAAAAGAAAGAAAAAAAAAAGAGCGGTTGTTCGCATTCGGAATGGTGATCAAGGAGACAAAAGAAAAAAAAGAGGGGGGGGGGGGGATAAGATTAGACATGTTCTGTGAAAATAAGCTACTTTAATCAGAGCAACTCGCGTGTGATTTCGATGAGCAACGTGTCGTCTCTTGCATCGTTTCCAAATGTCCTCCGCAGGTGTCCCGTGGACCCGACCATATTCCCGCCTCTTCGGCCGGACTACCGACAACCGGGCGCACTGTTCGCCAACTTCAAGGCGTTTCGGTTTCCCTCGTCTGGACTGGTCAACTTCGAGGTGCAAATCAGGTTCTGCCAAGACAGGTGTGATCCCGTAAGTGTTAGCCTCATTCTTCGCATTCTGCTCGAAAAAATTATTTCCATACCCTTGCGAAGAAAAAGATATAACAATCCTTAGCAAAAACTGCGCATATAGTGCTCAGTCCAAACATGCTACGTACAATTGTGCGTAGCATGTTTGGACATTAATGCATTACAGCGAGCATTACAGCCTTACAGCATCTTGAAGCATTACAGCCATTAATGGCTGTAATGCTGCAAGAGAGTGGTGGACGGCTCGAGCTAGTAATCAACGCGGATGATTTCGGGTGTTAGTAATACAGCGTGTCCCATCACTTTCACAGGTACTTCAGAACGCTTCTCATTTTATAACTTACCCTGTGGTGATTTGTATCGTTTGAAATCCCTTTTGGCTGTTGGGTCATTTCAGAGGGATGCGACGTGCGGAAAAAGTTATTTTTCTCTGTAAGTCACAGCATAGGAGGAATAGGCTCTAACTGTGCATAAGTCGTTATGGTGTTGTCAGAGATGACGTAGTCGTTTTATTGGATACAAGTAAGCCTGGACTGAATTCCGGTTTCAGGTCGCGGGTTTCATCCCGGCCGCGGCAGTCGAATATTCGATGGAACGAAAAACGTTTAGTGTCCCGTGTATTTAGAATAGGGCGCACGTTAAAGAACCCACGTGGTCGACACTTCCGAAGCCCCCCCCACTAGACTCGTAATCAGGTCTCGCTTAAAGGGCTAGATATAGTCAAAAAACCGGACATTCTTCAATAGGTTTCCTGGATATAGCTAGCGTTTAACCAGGACCTGATGAAGAGTGTACGACGTGCCTTATTATGGCATCGTGGCTTTAGCTCGCAAAATCCTAGCAATATTTATGAACCCCTGCTGTTGTGCCTAATATCTCTAAGTGTGGCACTAGAACAACAACAACAACAACAACAACAAAACAAAAACAGGTGAATGCGTACGTGTCCAATTTCGGGCAGCGTGCAACGACGGCCTCCGAGTCAGCGGCGCACCAGTGCGCCACCAGCTCATCTCGGAGGGTCCGGTGCAACAGTCAATATACGAGGAAGAAGGAGGACAAGCGCTGGTTTTATTTTTCGTTTATCGTTCACTGTAAGCCACCCAACAATTCCTCGCTATTTGAAACAACAGCAACAAAAATGGCAGATAATTTGTTTGATATTTGCGCACGTTAAATGAGCACTGAAGACTTGAATGGTTTTCCTATTATTAGAAAGCTACTCATCCAAAACTCCAAGCCACCACGATCGTCGTGAGAAGATGCTTGGTAAGGAATCGAGCGCGCAAAAAAAAAAAGAAAAGAAATGCCGGTGGCAGGGTTATTTTGAAATGCCCGCACCAATTAGCGTGGTGACGTCATAGATTGTGTCAGTCTACTAGTTCCAACATAGTTCCTAGTGGGCAAAAATGAAGTGTTTTGCCCCTTGAGGGTGCCATATACTTAAAGCAGTAAGTTTTAGAAAATTTTGCTGAGCCAATGTCACCAAAGTACAAGTACATTTCGAAAAGGAAGGCAGGGAGGTTAACCGGATACTAACAACTGGTTAACCTCCCTTCCTTCCTTCCTTTTTTCTCGTTTCTGTCCCTCGAAATTCGAGATTTTACGCGCGAAGATATCGCCTCGAAATTTTGAAATAAAGCTTTCAGCTTGATTTTCTTTTCTATTAATACACTTATGACGATAAAACTAATGGCAACAGTGTTTTCGTGGTAAAATATATCATTTAGCGCTGATTTCTTGTCGAACCTTTGTGTCCTTTTAATTTGAATGCCAGTGAAAACTGTCACGCGCCACGGTGAAGATTGTTCAACATTTTTGCAGGTTCACTGCCAGGGAGGCGGAGAGTCGTTCGGCCGCAGAAGGAGGGACGTGTCCTTCCCTCCCCTCGCGAGGTACGCCTTCGGGAACAGGACGAGGCCGATCTTCCTGAAAGCGCACAAACCGACGATCGTCATAAGACCATATGCAGTGCGAACCACGGCGTCGCCCGCCACCACCAGTACGAACGAGCCGCCCGTGACGACTACGGCCACTCAAGCTCCCGAGACCACGACGGTCGAACCCGCTACCACGACGACAACGTTCACGGAGGACACGTTAACGACCCAAACAGAGAGCCTTGCGGAGACCACCACCGCGAGCCCAGAGTCCACAACAGATGATGCCTCGACGACGGCAGGGGCTCCAGTCGAAAACACTACCGATGCCGTCACGCAAGAACCCCCTCAGAACGTAACGTTCGCCGAGGAAGCAGCCGAGGAAACGGTGGCTACAACCTTGACCTCCTTTCCCGATACAAACGAAACCCTTCGCTTTGATTCGGAAGAAGTGGACGGGGATGCATACGATGACGCCGAGGAAAGCGAACCGCACTTGATGTTCCGGAAGCAGGAAATGTACCTGCCCGAGGAAGGAAACGCCAGCAGCCCGGAAGTGCAGGAACCTCGGAAGGAAGGGGACAAGATCGAGCAAGTGTCCTCGGCTGTTGTGTTCCGCAACCCCGATTCCTCTGGCCCACAAGTACAGCGGGGTCCATCGCAACAGGCAACGGCCGTTCCTTTCGACTTGACTTCTCAACCTTACGGCGGCTACGGTTTGGGCTACGGCCGCCACTACGACTCACCACCACCACCACCGTACGGCGGTCAGAGCCCCTACGGGCATGGTGGCTATTACGAGGATCGCGTTAGTCAAACATATGCGGATGCTCGCCACGGAATGCCGCCACATGCGACGCAATCTTTTTCGCACGGCTGGAGAGAGATTCCGTACGGTCCACCGCCGAGACCGGTGGCCATCGAGCCAGGAGCCGAGCGGCATCGTTACGAAAATCGCCGATTAGAACGGCCTGATCACCGCGGCTCGGCCGGAAACGAGCAGAAGAAGGAACTTTCCGGAAACCGTGGACTCCATTACTACGAAGCGGCGGGACACCATCGCGAGTTCAACCGAACCACGGACCGCGTAAACGCGTCGTTATGGCAAACGAGATCGGATCTAGCTTCCGGTAGGGAGTCCCAAAAGCCAGGTCTAGAAGCGGACTCCACCGGCCACATTCGAGAAAGCGTTAACGGTGATGACGGCTCGTTTCGCGGGGAACAACGCGAAAGAACGGCCAACCAGTACAACAATGGAACTCGTCCCCGTGACAACTCCTGGCACGGAGCTCTACATTCACCTACTGCGGAAAGGAAGAGCGACGCCTTGAATTTCTCTCCCGGAAACAACGAAACGAAAGCGACGTTAAGCCTCGCAGACAGTGAAGACAACGCGCTGTTCCAACATCACCAGCAGCAGCAACAGCAACAGCAGCAGATGACGACGAATTCCAGCGGCCAGTTCGTCGTGCGAGAGATGGAGGGAGGGTACGGCGGGCCTTCTTCGGCGTTGCGCGAGATCGTCGCCACGACCGAGAAGCCGTATCCAGAGGAAGTTCCGCTCTCGCTAGCCATTATGGTGGGCGAAGACAGCGGCGGAGGCGGCGGGAAGCCCCACAACAGCTGGGCCAGGAACGCCGCCACTAACTCCGGCGGTGGCGTCTACCAGCCTCCACGTAGCCGAAAACGAGGTGAGGAAGTCGTCAGCGCCTCTGTGGGAGGTTTGGAGGGGAGGGAAGGCAGCTATAGCTAGCTGTGGCGTTATACGATGCCCGCCACTGCTCGGTGTCATACGACGGTAATGAAGACGAATTCCGCAAGTGCCACCTATCTCTATGTGGTGTGCGTGTGCGTGTATCACACAGTACTCACTCTCTCGCTAAATAAGTGCAGCGTGGCGAAAGCGTGTGAGGAGTGTTGATGCTTCGTCCGCAACTAAATGTACGTCCACTTTCTCGAGGCGTCTAGTGTCGTGAACTCGTTATGTTACAATCATGGGGAACATATACGATTACAGCTGTTTGGTCTATTCATGCACCCCGGCGACAGCAGCAGCGCTATGCCAAACTTTCTAGATGAAGCGTCTGACGTATTCACATGTCGATTTCTCCAATCGTCTTTTGTATTCTGCTGAGATTAGCTTGGCGTCTTGATCAGCAGTTTGCCGTAATAGCTATCATTAGGGACAAGCGGGGAAAATCGATTCGATACTCTTTTTTTAGCGCAAGTAGTATCGTGCGCTTCTATTACCAATAAAAAAAACAATTATATGCTTTATTTCTACCCAGGCGTTATACGTACTATCGTGCGCCTCCATTCCTGGGTAGTCTATAAGCAGCCATCTTCACTTACTGAGCAGTTGTGTGCAGGAGACGAAAATAGCTGCGTTGTATACAGTTTGTGCACCGACACCCAACCTTTCGATTGGCCGGCATCACGAGGAGGCTTTCGCTGTAGTGCGCGGTATTAGGGAGCCGGGCTTACGGCTACACGAGGCACCCAACTATAGACAACACAAAACGAAAAGGAACTACGCGCCATAAAAAGTGTCCCCGGCGAGTTTCGCCACAGTCGTCTCGCGGACAAAAGCGCTGTCGGCGAGGTAACTGCGATATACTTCTTACTCAGGAGCGGTATTGCGTACGCGTCTATTATATGCGCCCTCTTTTGTCGTGACGGCGGCGGTTGGGTAGCCATCTTTTGTCAGCTCTTGTGCAGGAGAGAGCTCCGCGAGGCAAACTAGATCAAATGTGCATCGCATTCTCAATATATTACCCCGGGCCACGGGGAAAGCAGTCACACTTGCCAGGACAAAACGGGCATTTCACGAAACAGTGTACAGCGGAGTTTCGGAATAAGCTTTCACGTGTGGATACTACGAAGAGGATAATTCCCAAACTCCCTTTGCCTAGGTATCGTACTCGCTCCAGGACGTAAGTGAACGTTGGGAAGGCCCCCCGGATTTGTCGAATTTCCAAAGTGTTCATTTCTTTTTAACGTCTAATATTCCCTTCACCCCTTTCCCCAGCACAGTGTAGCCGGCCGGTCTAAGAACTGGCTAGCCTCCCTGTCTTTACGCTTAAACTTTCTTCCTCCTTCCTCCTCCTCCAAAGTGTTCGAATGGACCAATGTTCATTTTGCGTACGTACGTGTAACGAAAATTTCTTCATCCGATGAGCCCATCGACAAAAGTGTCTTCCGTCATGCTATCAGACGTAATCTTTACTAAATGCAGTGCGTCTAAACCCAATTAACGGAAACACAATATGAAGCGAGTAGCAACTCCGTAGCAAATTAAGGATGTCAATAGAAAAACGAGTGTACGGACGCCTTTTCTCAATGCCTTTACACTAATTACTGATACGCTACAACTAGTCGTGGTTAGTTATTACTGCGTTTCGTACCTCACTTTAGTCTACGTGACTTAAGCACACTTCAAAACAAGCTCGTAGATTTTCCGAGCAACAATTACAAAGATTAATTGAGAGACTATATGCTGTCTTCTGCAACCGCAGACGTGACCGTTTAAGGATAAACGAATTGATTAGTAGCACCCATATTTGTTTCCTTTTCTTTCAATCGGCTTTGCGGCATTTCTAATTGTTCATTTTCAAACCGATATTGCGATGAGATAACAATCATTCGCCGTGGCTCAACATGCGGGCATTAACTGCAGCGTCTGGAACTGCTTTAATGGCTGACTGCATGAAAAAATGTTTTAACGTGGATGCGCCCCAACATCGGCGCCTGTCGTTGGCGCCTCCTGGATGTGCTGCTGCTGCTGTTGGGGATCATCGTCTTTTTAACAGCATATGCAAGATATTGTGAACAATTGGAAGAGGAATGCTTCAATACTTCCTCGTGCATGCATGTACTTTCAACTTCTCCTTACTTTCAGTTTCTCCATTCCTTGTTCATCTTCCTCTCCTTCTCACTGCAGGAAGTCCAACCAGGTTTCACCTCGTCTCTTCCCTGTGCTTTATCGTAGCGTAAATGAAGCCTCGCCAACGCAGATTCAAGCGCAGAGCAATAAGAGGAATACAGGACACAGCGCCACGTTGGTTCTGTCTGAATCCCTTCACTTACGTTCGTGTTTGTGCGCCTTACTTCCTCTGTTGTCTATGTTCCGAGTGCGATCACTGTCGTAGATAGTGCACGCTGACAGTACAAAGGACAGCATCGAAGCCCGAGCCGTCCGAGTTGTGAAATACGTCCCGATGATGTCTCAGTGACATGACGGGCGCTGCCTCGCGTCAAGAGAAGGCTAACCCTCGTATTCACAATCGCTCCTCGACTCGACTTTTTACCCTTCACTTGACAGAGTTGAGCACTGCGCCACCACTCGACTGAAAATGACGCTGCGCTGCTCAAGAATCGCAGCAGACTATCGCTGATATGCAGTGACTTGTCGTGACTAGAGACGGCGCTCCCATCGGCTTTCTCTAGTGAAGGTGGAGCGTTGAGTGAAAGGACGTTCTAGAATACGGGGGTAAGTAAAACAAGCGGAATTCACATTTCTTTGACCTATTTATTGTTAGAATCTATATAAAAAAAGTGATCGTGGCGTACATTAAGCACGCAAAAAACACGTATACTTGTGTGCGCACGCCCGTAACAGCGAAATCAGAGTTAAGCAAGCACTGCGCCCAGCTGCCATCTTGTTCGAACAGCCAAGTAACCGGCATCGTATTTCTGTCAGGTCAATGCAGTCTCAGTGAAGCTGTCGGTTCTTCCGGCTCAGTAGAAATTGTAATGGGACTTATTATGGCCGCTGTCCACTTACCTTTAATTTAGCCGTCTACGGTGACTAACCAAACACACACTACGATAGATTTTGACCAACCTGCTAAATGTACTGTCTTTCTAATCTTCCCGGTAACTTCCATTCTCTCTCTCTCTCTAGGCACTTCGCTCTGTCAAGTAAAAAAGATAAAACTACACCTAGATACAGGAAACGAAAAGAAAGAAGTGGACGGGACTAGCGCAGACTAACAACTGATATATTTGCATGACGCCTATTTTCCCCTCAACAGCAAAGAGTATGCGCACAATCAAACTATCGTAGATCGTAAATTACCACTTAAAAGTTCATCGATTTCGTCGTTGTATGGGTGTATGGATGGGTATGGGTGTGAAAAGTTTTACTGATGCACTTATCAGGCCCCTATCGTATATTATGCAAGGCTGCGATTATTTCTGGTGCCTGTCAGGTATATACTCCCCCACTTTGCCGATACACTTCTCTGAATTTCGCCGCAATCGCCCTTTCGCGCAGAGCCACCGCTTCCCAGGCCGGTCGAGGAGGAGCCCGCCTGCGATCCGCAGAACACCATCATAATCACCGCACTGGTCGTGTCGGCCATCCACGTGGGCCTCATGCTGGGCGGCTTCTTCTGCTTCCGGTGGCAGCGGCGCTCCATGAAGCGCAAGCAGCTCATCGCCTCCGTCATGGGAGACTTCCGGATGCCCTCAGGCGCCGGCGTCACTTCCGCCGCAATGCCCGCCGTGCATCATGCGACGACATCGGCGGCAGCTCCGGGTCGCAGCCACTACAGCCCCGCGTCCCCCTCACGGGTGCCCGGCGGACCCATGGTGTACGGCAAGGCGGACACGTCCTTTCGCCAGATGTACAGTGACTTCGAGACTCCGCCATGAAGGACGCCGACGTAGTGTCAACTCCGGATTGTGAACCGTCGGGGGCTTAGGCGTGTGCAGGGTTTCGATAGGGGGAGGTGCTAATTTACAACGCAGCGTCTTCCCCTTTCCCCCCTTGACGATGTCCGAAAGGGGGAAAAAAGTGTTGCAATTGATGCAGAAATGAAAACGAAGTAGCCACGCGATGCTCACCGCGGCCTGCCTTTGGTCCCCGTCTTCCTGGTGATAAATGTGGGAAGTTGATTATTCATGAAGTTCAAGAGCAGAAGCCCTCGGCCGCCGCTATCTTCGAGAACCGGGGTTGACGTAAACCCGCACGTTAAAAGCGACGATGAGACAGGTCCTACTGAGTAGATACATAAGGTAGATTTTGCGCTACCCTCAAATTATGGGCTAAGATGATTTTGGCGTCCACTGCCACACACGCCTATTGTCGTGGGACGACGCAAAAATGGAAAAATCAAAGCAATAATCCGCGCGCTGAGGTGCAATATCATTGTTAAATGATAGCTTTGGAGGTTGCCCGAATCGTAATGAATTTATGCTCTATTGGACAGAGGAGACATGACTGCAACTCTATAACATTAAACAGCAATGTCTTTGCATAAATTGGAAAGAATGATTCATTGGGTCAGTTGGTGCTCATTTTCAGAAAGTAAAGAAAGACAATAAAATTTACCAGAGGTGAAATCGCTCATGTAACGAAGCAGAACCCTAGTCATCTGCAAGGAGATGACGATATCATGTGGAATAGAAACGAAGGACTTGCTTAACACATTTTAAATGTTCGATAATAGCCATTACAGCCGTGAACTCATGCCTTGTTTAAAATAAGGGCGGTCTTTTATAATGTTACTCAGTAAGTTCACTTTACTAACTTGCCAGGTGTTCCAGTGGTGTGCGTAAAGTCGACGCACATTTCGTAACACGTGCAGTGATTGCAGCGCTTGTTTCGTCGAATTAGGTCATGAATCGTGATATCAAGCTGCAAGAAGGGAGCGTTGAAAAAGAGCTGGCGAAGTCTGACTGAGGTATTTCGAGGCCCGTTATTGGATCCCGCACCATCAACGCATTGCGGGGGTAAAAATTAAAGGCATTATTGAATAACTGTACCAGTGAGGATGTTTAGAAGCGCGGAGTTGTGGATAAGCCACTCTGTCGTGTTCCAGAGTAAAGAGAAGGGTCAAAGGAATCAGAATATGATGAAAAGTTAACACGACCAGCGAGAAAGAGATAAAGGAATAAAGCAAAGACGACAGGGTATAACCGAGAAACCTTCCGGTTGGCTACGCTGAACTTTGGATGGGAAAGAGTAGTGTGAAAGGGTGATAGTGTAGAAGTGTCCATGATGACACTAAAATGCCATGGCGATAGCACTGTCCAAGAAACAAGCCAGGCACCAACCTTTGCAGTGAACTGTCACAATGCCTCGTGCGGTCCAGTTTCTCCACGGAACCGCAGCAACGCCCTCGTATCGAGTCGCGTTCAAGTCAATAAGCCTAGAAGGTTTTACGACACAAAGTCTTAATTAACAAACAACTGCGGAAGAATTAACAGAAAACAATGCATGATAAGCGCAGAACAAAAATATGTGTCTCTCAGGACTCCCCGAAGCATATACACTCTTGTACTAGCGGCAAAAGTCATTTTTAAAACCCCCTTAATCTCGGAGGCTTCTCTGGGAATACCGGTTGTCCACGCCCCTATCAGAACCACAGAGCGCAGGTAAATGAAAAAAAGGCAGATTATTCATTCATCGAAGACATCTTAAGTCCAGTGCTTGCAAAGTGAAATCACGCAATGCTAAGTTAGTGATTTCACTTGCGTAGGACGACTCTTTTAGAACTGACCTATTTCATTGGGCTGCAGTTTTACCAAGTATACTATTTTAATGTGGTTTCAGGAATGAAAACATTTATGAAAGACGAAAATTTCTTATTAGACCATCCGTTTTCGATGTGCAGTAATAAAATAAAATAATTGACAAGAAATAACTTAAACCCCGAAAGCCAATACTGCGATGGATGGCTTACGCCTATAAAACGTTGTTAAAACCTCCGATTGCTATGCGGCTTACGAAACGTGACTATACAGTAACGGGTCTGTAAAGGCTCCCAGCGTTTATATTCACTTAATGCTACAGGCGGTGATAAATGACAACCCACAGCGTCAAACTGTTCTGAATTAAACAGCGTGCGGTCCCTCTAGTAGAGAATACTAAAGAATGTCGCGATTCTCGTTATTTTATTTATTCTTTCTTCCAGCGTTGTAAATACAAAACAGGACGGGACACTAAATTTTCATCTTTCCTAAATCTTTAATATAACTGTAACGCAACTGCAGCCCAATAGGCCAGTTTTAAAGGAGTGACCCTGTGTAAGCAAATGTGCTGTTCATTAGCATGGTGGTTGCGAATCCACGGCATGTTAAGCTGGTGCCGAGAATACGAAGAGAAAAACGAAAGCAGCGACTAAACACAGGAGGCAGGGTGCTTAACCAGAAGGGCTATCGGTTGATTGCCCATGCCGTTGTGACAATAGGAAGAAGCCTTGCCGGGCTGAGAGAGAGTGAGTGCTTCGAGACGGAAGCGACGAGGATTTTCTGCTTCTTTTTCATATAAAACTGTGTATATTAAATCACGAGTGCTTGATCACACTAAATATATAAATAGCTTACAGCACCAATAGTGGAAAGCGTGAGTCAAGAAAGACTCACTCGCATTTTCGATGGAGGCAAAAATGTTGTAGGCCTGTGTGTTTAATTTCGGGTGCACGTTAAAGAACGCCAGGTAGTCGAAATCTCCGGAGCCCTCCGCTACGGCGTCTCTCATAATCGTATGATGGTTTCGGGACGTTAAACCCCACATATCATCATCAGAAACACTGACTTGCTCATTGAGGCTTCCTTAACCATTTTTTTTACTTCTTCTAAAAAGTATATTTGAGTCACTCACTGTACAAAAATAACTGAAATGAACTATATAAAGATTACTCATCAAAGCACTGTTTAAGCGTTCTCATGTTTTCTCTATTTGCCTTGTTTGTTGAATCAATCATGACATATATGCTAGCGCAAAATGAATTTGATAGTACGTTGCCAGATCTTCTGAAGTGCATCATGTGCACCCACCAGGTGCTTGATCAAGTTCATCATAGCTCTATCACTGATCCCTTAAATATAGTTGAAAAATTTCCTTTGGCATCATCGTTAATGCAAACCGTGTGCATATTTTCAATGTTAGCTTTCAAATAAAAGGACTGCATCAGCCACAATTTTTGTTTTATTTGCTAACCGATACAATGCACACAAAAATGACAAAAATTATGGCAGCAAGGTTTGAGACTTTGGCATGAGCCATCGCGAGAAACTCGGTGGGATAAGATATTATTGTGGTCGTTATACGTGTCCACTGCTTGTATAGATAGTTGCGGCATTGTTTTTGTATGTATATTGTTAATACTTCTAGCGTGAATGGACGTGACGTCCCGCCATCCATATAGAACTTGTTCTCGTTTCTGGATATAAAGCCCGAAAGATGGCATCTCTATTTAGTTCAATAAAGACTGATTTACCAAGAAAGCTCTGCGCTTTGTTTACCCGTTTAGGCCAAGTGTTACGACTGAAAACATGGAAACGTACTGCGCAAATAAATGTCAATCCACCCTAAATGCATAAAAATAGTTGCCCCCCTCTCTCTCTTTCTCTCGATCTTCGAAACTGGTCCATATCTTTCCTCAGTGTAGGACAGTATAGTAGCCATTCTAGACTGGTTAACATATCTACCTTGCCTTTCTCTTATGTTCCCTCCTTCAACAACGTTTTTATACTCTTACGCGGGCACATGCCAACATGAATGTCTATTATGCTCATCAAGCACAGCGAGGTGTACACCCTACTGACGCAGTAGACCAATTACTATGGTGACACGATTCCAAGTGATATCAAGATTTCATTGAGTTGAAATTAGCCACATTTAGGAAGTTTCCAAGCTGATTTTATATTTCATGAGCATCCGCTACTACATTATTGGGGTTCAATAACAACACATTTGCGAAGGTATCGGAGTATATTAAAATACAATTGGCAAGTACCATACCGGATAGAATTTTCGCGGTAGTATATTGAATCTGTATCTCCAATACATGTTGTCTGTGTATCTTGTATTCTATCGCAATACAATTTCAAAGTACCTTTGCCCAGTCCGGCCTGAAGGGCATTAAGGAACATCGCACACAGATCTGCCCGTTCGCAGGATAAACAAAAATAACAGCATATCCACTGAGTGAAAGATGATGAGCGGCGCGAAGCGCCCGTCCATCCGTCCATCTAGCGAACACTCCAAGTACCACCATCTCTCATCTTTTCATCATATTCATCATATACAAGTACCGCCATTCAGCGGATATTCCAGGAACTAAACAAGAGGTGGCTACCTATTACTACTACTGGTACTATTATACATCGGGGACGCACGATCTACGCGCGTCTCACTGAAGCGGGCACCGGCGTATGCTTACACCATGTACAACTCAACCTGTTTGAACGGGGAGTACTTTATGAGTGTGGGCTCATATAATCGAAGGGGGAAGTTCTGCCATAGAATCACATCCTCGTAAAAGAACACCAACATGTGTTCAGCAATAATGTTCGACGATTCAGAGTACGATGTACTGCACTATGGGAGAGGGGCATTAAGTTGTCCCGGTAAATTCAATTGAAGAAGTAGTAGCAGCAAAAGAGCCGAGAAACACGCGAAGTGTTTAGAAAAAGTGTTAAACGATTTCTAGTACTTCGTAATCAACTATGGGAGAGCAGTGAGCCACCCCGATCTTGATGATATGCGTCATTCCCCGCCCAGAAAAAGTTTATTTACACTATGTACAAAAAAAGTGTTTTAATATTCTATAAATGTGATTAAAAAGAGCGTAATGATTCAGAATACCAAATACTCTACTATGGGGGAGCAGAAAGCTGCCCAGAGGGTATAGGATTTTACGCTG